TATAGGACAGGATCTAAACTCTCTGTATGGTGTAGTGGGTAGGGCAAACTTGTTGATAGATGGCGCGCATTGTCGTTTCGGCCTTTTTTAATTATTGTACTCTCGGATTGGAATGTTGTCTTTTCCTTATGAATTGTTGAATTGTTCTTCATCTCTACACTCTACTCTACGGCGAATCAAGGTTGGATATAGTTGTGTAGTGCTCATATTTCCCTGATATACGAATTTGACCGTGTTTTTAAGATTTCTTCTCTGTACTCTGTACTTGTGTATATATTCAGGGTCTTCAATATTATCTCATTTTCAGGGGCTTAGCCACAATATCCGTCGTTAGGGCTAGGAGGGGCTTGAGCCTCCTCCGGGCGCCAATTAGAAGTACATCGGATGTCTCACTTGGAAGGGGGCCCCCCTTGTGATAGCACTTTTGGCCAACTCTTGCGACCAATCATCCCAATTTATGGCTTGTATCTTTGTTTTTGTTACCTTGGACTTCTTTGTCTTTAACCTAGATAGCCTAGGTCTTCACTGATATCTACAGGGTCTACACCGACTTGGCTTTTGTTTTTTTTTTGTTTTTTTGTCATGCTCTTAAACGGACTTGCCTGTCAGCGCCAAGGTCGAGTTTTTAGTACATTATAGTACAGCACTAGTATATGTTGTCCAAAGGATGCTTGGCTTCCGGATCTCCGTGACTCTTTCCGGGGAACTTATTGGGCACGCTAGTGATGAGGCAGCATAACAGTTCTTTTGATTTTTTCCCCCTCTGCTTCCTGACTTCCTGACTGCTTTTCTTCTGCCCAACCCAACTCTCCCTATTCTACGACCTTGGATCCCTTCATCTTCAGATCCTGCAAACATGCGCTCATCTTCGTTCCTCCTCTCTGCAGTAGCAGCTCTGGCCGCAGCCGCTGAGCCCGGTACAACAACGATCAGCTATTTCGCAATCGACAATGACTCCGGCGGTGCCGATCTCGGTGCCTACTCCAGCACTGCAGGCCGGGTCGTTGGCATCGACAAGTACGCCACAACCTACGAGATCGCCTGCTTGCCAGGCGCATCCAAGTGCGCATTGCACCACCCCGCAACCTTAATCCAGGGCGATGCCACGTACAGCGTCTCCCTCGAAGCAATTATGGTTACCAGCGGTCTTACAGCCCACGCAACCGCTGTCGAGTCATGCAGCTTCACCCGTGTTTCGGAATCTGCTATCTGCTCCTGGAGTCTTGCATACACCGGCATCCAGGGTACTACCACCATTTCTGATTCCGCCTCTAGTACACAGTCCATCCCGTCGTCTTTGATTACCTATAAGCCTCTTACTATCACTAATGGCGTCTACGCTCTCACGGCTGATGCCACGGCTTCGACTTCGCCGGTCAAGATTACCCCTACTGCTTCTACGGGTGGTGTTGCGGCTGCTGCGAAGCCTTTGATCACTGCTGCGCCGTTAGGTGCTGCTGCTGCTGTTGCTTTTGCAGCTATGCTCTAGGTCTTGAGTTTAGTTTTCTTTTTCATGCTTGATGTTTACATGGTTGAGACCTGAGTGTCTGGGTCCGAATGAGCCATGCTATATGTACATTTATCAATCCACCGAAACATTGTCTCGAGTCAGACTTCCTCTTACTACAAATCTTTGAATTTTGAACTATCATGGATTCCTGCTGAGAAGGATTGTAGGTCTTCAGTATTTCTTTGCCTGCTTCATACCTATGTAGCTATTTCGCATACTATAAAGCTAGTTTACAGCTTTTGCACGAGTTTACACCAATGCTCTCTCTCTCTCTCTCTGTCTGCCCTCACTATCTGGGCTTAGCTTATATAATGTAGGACGCTAGTTAACTAGTTAGCGACCAAGGTTGATAATAATAAAATCCTTGGCGAGCAACTTTTAACTAAGGTATTCGAGTCACTAGAGAAATTCCGGGGTCTTTTCATCAGACTGCTCTTTGTGGGAGTATATAGGAGAATCTAACGATCTTCTTCTATAAATGCCAAGGGATTCAAATACAATGACGAATATTCACCGCCCTGCCCACGTGGGCGACTATCCACTCTGATTATTATATCTTCAAACAATTCTTATTTCTATATATTCAGATCACCCACAATGGCATCAAGATCTGCACTACCTTCAGTTACGACCAGGACGGTCCCGCAGCCTGCCCCCAATGGCATGGGGAATGGCCTGTTTGCGACAACCGACATCAACCCCGGTGAAGATGTTTTGCACATCAAAACACCATTTGTGGCGGTTCTTGATTCTCCACGTTTAGAAGACACATGTGCCGGGTGTTTCGGAAAGAGACAGATGGAAACTGGAAATGAGTTAAAGGCTTGCACAGGATGTCGTGTCGTTAAGTATTGTGATCGGGTGAGTTATGGGGATAGATCGTTTGCTGTCTCATATTTTTCGTCCTACCAAAGATTATATCGTTTGATCTTCTAACACTTGATAATTAGGCGTGTCAATCTAAGGACTGGAAGTTTGCGCACTCTCTTGAATGTCCCATCTTCAAAAAAGTCAAACCTATGGTGCTTCCCAACAATGCCCGTGCTCTCCTGCGCATAGTGCTGCGCACTGCGCGTAACAAGTACGATTCTGAAGAGTCTAAGGTCTTCGATGGCTTGGAGACTCATATCAATGAGATCTCAGAGATCCAGGGCCAGATTGATAGGATTAACCTGACGGCAAAAGCTGTCAAAAATTACTCAGGGACGGATGTGGATGAAGGAACTGTTGCTTCTTATGCTGCCAAGGTAATTGAATTTAGCCTTACACCTCTTACCTCGTTTATTTCTCATCTAACTATCATTTATAGCTTGATCTCAACTCCTTCAACCTTACCACCTCCATGTATGACCGCATTGGTCTCTACATGCACCCATATGCCGGGTTGATTAACCACAGCTGCGACTACAACTCCACCGTTGGATTTGACGGTGAAGAACTGTATGTCAAGGCTATGCGTTCCATCAAAAAGGGCGAGCAAATCTTCATTTCCTATGTCGACACCACGACACCCTACGACATCCGTCGCAACGAACTGAAAGAACGCTACTTCTTCGACTGCCAGTGCACAAAGTGTGCAATAGGAGCGGAAACCCTTGAAGACCGGTTCTTGTCTACACCTGAAGACATGACGCCCCTAGAGACAGCAGAGCGGGAAGCCCTGGAGCTCCTACAGAAAGCAACTGCAACTAGCACGGAGCCAGCAGAGTCAATCAAGAAGTTGGAAGCTGCCATGCACAAGCTTCATGAAACAGCCCTCTGGCCTCTCACCCGACAGCCATATGCTTCTCTCCGTGATAAGCTGATCATATCTCTCCTAACGGCTGGTAACTTCACCCGGGCATTCATTCACGCTGCCATTCGCTACCTGCGAATCGATCCTATTGTCTATGACAAGGCCCATCCCATCCGACACATCCATGCATGGAGCCTGGTCAGGCTTACTGTCTTCATCTCCCAGGAGGGTTTCCAGCCTGACCCCAAAGATCCTGTCCAGATAAACGACTTCAAGCTGAACTTTCACTACTTGATTTGGTATATTCTCGCTGAACTTACTAGCACTCAGGCGGAGAGCTGCACAGTGCCCAGCTTTAAGAAGCTTGTTGGAAATCAGTTCGTACAGGTTCACCATGAGTTCAAGGCCAATGGCCTTGATCCTAGCAAGACCAAGGCGGTTCTCTCTGCTGAGTGGAACAAGCTTGAACATCTTGTCAACAAGGCTTTAGAGAAAGAGTGAAGCTTTCTATTTTACTAAAAGTTTGATCAAACTGCAACATGACCCAGCCTTACTGGAATAGATTGAGCACCTTATATAACAGAACAGTAGTGCCACGTGCCCACGTGCCCAATGGTATCTCACCTTTTACATCCGAAATGGCAGAAACGATCGGGGTAGATACTGGCTGTACACATAGCCGCTGCTTCGCTTTTGAAGCCGGTCGTCCCTTCCTCTTCGGGCTGGCTGGGGACTATGTAAACCGCCTATAACCCATTTCTCTTCCCTTCTTCTCTTTCTCTCTTCTCTCCCACATTTCTCTTCGTTTTTATTGCTTGCAGAAGCAATTCGATACCACAAAAAACACCTAAATGAAGGCCGTTAAAATGGCTGCGTTGTCGGACCGCTGGTCCATGGAGATGGGGCCTCCAACCTCTAGATCCATCGATGAGGTTCGTGCCGCCTCCGAGACCAGTCTAACCTCCCACTACGGGGCCGGCTATCGGGCTGCGACCCCCCGGTTTGCCGATCTTAGGACTCCGGTGATTCCTCCCGGTTACCAGCAGATCCCAGGGTACGAATCCCACCGTCAGCGGCAGGAGGCTCGCGCACTCATGGGATCGATTGCGGAGCGCCGGGGTAAGCCTACCCCCGGCCCAATCTTGATCCGTGGTGATGCTCCGAGTCTTCTGTCGCTCGGACAACGTTGGTAAGTCAATTCCATCTCATCTTTACTTCCAGCCTCTCTTGGCTTGGTTTCAATTGATTTCAGCTTGTTCTCGGTTTATTCTCACTTCTTTCTTATTTCACATGTTCTATCTGAGATGGAATTTGTTTTACTTCATTTGTATTGGACTCAGCTGACTTTGGATTCTGATAGGGTCCTTGGGTGCCGCGCGTGCTGGTGCCTTTGCCGAAGCCAGAGCTCAGCAGCTAGCCAATGAGCGAACTTGGACTATGTCTTGGGGAGCTTTCTGCTGGTGCTTTTGGTGAAGATGACAAGGGGGTTTCTGCAGTGTGGTGTTTGGTTCTCGAGGGGTTGGCAGCCCATTGGTAAGGCTTATCTATCTCTGAGTTGGTCTTCAGTTTTGAATGTTAACAATATGACATACAGGTTTCGTTGCTTTAAGTTCTGCTCCCCGAATTTGACCACCGGGTACGAGCTTAATATAGTTACTATACTTGGAAGTTTGCGAAAAACCTGAGAGTCTACATGGTCAAGGCTGCTTGAGCCTGAGAATTCGGATGACCGATGGAAAAGAAGCCATAACCACTATGACACATGGCTTTGTTAGGAATCCCCAACGGTCTCGCATGACGATGATGTTTTCCGAGTGGATCCTGAGAGCCAAGAGCACTCTACGTCCACCACCCCAATCCGACACTTGCGCAATTGGAGTCGTACGGGGTTCAAAGAAGAGTTGGTTGGGTAACATCTCCAAGGCGTGGACTGCTCTTCAATACAAGCTTTACCCGGAATGGTAAGTCCGAGTACTCCCATCTGTTCTTCGGGCTCTGATTGTGAAAGACTGCGGCCACCTCGCTGCCTTTCGTGTCTTCACTCGTCGTCTTTCTCGCGTCTCTTTTACCTCGCCATTTTACGATGTCATGTTCCTATATCAGCCTTCCCACGAGCTAGTGCCCATGCACTACCTCCCCTTTTACGCATTCACCCTTTCTACAGCACCCCATAGCAGTCCACATGCGGACCGCCGAGGTTTTGATGCTCTCTCAGAGTACAGCCCAGACATCCTTGACAAATATCTGAACCGATCAAAGTTCGACAATCCGTTGATCTATCGGCAATTAAAAGGGATTACAGCCCCACTACAAGCCCTATCGACTGCTGTGGAAGGCGGCAGTACCACAACAACCCTCCAAACTCAACGAATGCAAGGCACTTTGCGTGAGCCATGACGTCGACTGATACGACGATCACATCGACAGTAGCAATAGGTACGCAGGCCAGCGTCCTTCTCCCAGAAGCACGAGTTCGACTTCGACTACGACAACGTTAAAGTCACACCATACGCGAAAAGCTCCAAGTTGGCGCTCAACCAGGCTAGCAAAACTTCAGCTAGCACCAGGGGCCACAATCCTTTCCCAGGACCTTCGGCAACAAACCCAAAACCATCTACGCCACTCGCACTGCCTGAGGATCAGATGGCACAGGAAACAAGGGCGTTCAATACTATTAATTCCGGTGGATCCCACTGAATGAGGCAGGGATTCCACGAGTACTATGATGTTGTAGAATACCCCAACAACGGGACGCTGATCCCACCGCTTGACAACCTCTCCTCTTTCTAACCATATGCCACATTGTGACTGGCCGCCTGCGCGACTTGAAATCAAAGGTCAAAGATGAGCCACTTTTGTCAGCGCTAGCGGCTTAGCCCTCAAACATTTGAAGTCCACCGATTTTCACCGTCTGGCGCTATACTCGCGGAGCAAGCATATCTTCATAGCAACATAACTCTCCTGTCTCTTCATGTATTTCGTTGGTGTATTTCGTTGGATATGAATATTATCATATGTTCCATATATACTGCTCGTAATATTAAGCATAAAAATTGAGGTTGGTCTATTCAGTGTTGTTGGGTACAGTCCATTCCATGTTTAATTTTCATCAAATTTGAAAGGGTGCCAAGCCCTAATTTCTTTAGCAAATGGACCGATGTGAAATTCAATTGCTTTTGTACATTTGTTTTCTTTCCAAATCCGCTATAAATACCAGAGATTTGAAAATCGAACCAATCTACAAGGCGAAGCTTTATGAATGCTGCAAGCGCGCCAAGATTGCCCAGATGAGCTTGATCCTCTCATATAATACCCCATACGACAACAGTCAAATGTATAATATCATGTCCATTTACCAATATTGATAAATACAGGAATAGAAGGCAAATAATCAATCGAGCATACAGAGATGTTCATATATACAGTGTACAAAAGTCAAGTCATAAAATATATCACATCAGACTTGTCCGACCTCCAATCTCATTGGCAGCCTCGCCATTAGGCATCTCACCATTTCGGCCCGCGACAAACTCACGGTAAATTCCCTGCAGACGTCTACGCTCTGCGGGAGGAAGAGAACCACGCGTGGTAGCCAGTGAGCGCTCGACATGCTCCCAGCGGACAATGATATCCTCACGCAGCTCGTCTGCATCAGGCTCAGTGCCATTAGCCACCGGGGCTACGGCGTTGTTCGCACTGGAAGGTCCTTGCTCGAGCTGGCGCTGGCGGCGACGCGAGTTCTTGATTGCTTCCAATTTTGCTGAGATCACTGCCGGGGCTGGCATGGAGACAGACCCGGATGCTTCCTCCGAAGAGGAGTAGAGGAACTGGATGAAGGATTTGCTAGAAGCACTAGCGGAGTTGGACTTGGAATTGGGCTTGGCTGTGTCGGTGGAACGATCACCCAGGGCGTCGTGGACTGCCTCGAGATGGGCGTTGTACACAACAGCCTGCAGGTCTGCACCGGAGAATCCGTCGGTTTCGGTGGCAATATCGCCTAGACGAGATGTAACCTCGTCACTCATCTTGAGCTTTTCACCCACTGAGCGGATGATATCAACACGGTCTGCGTGGTTGGGCATGCCACAAAGCAAGGACTTGTCGAGACGGCCAGGTCGAAGGAGCGCAGGATCGATTAAGTCGGGTCGTGACGTTGCTGCTAGCACATAAACACCCGAGAGACCTTCTGCGCCGTCCATTTGTGTCAACAGCTGGTTGACAACACGATCCGTGACACCGGTGGAGTCGTGGCCACGTTTAGGTGCGATACTGTCGAACTCATCGAAGAAGAGGACGCAAGGGCGAGCGGCTTGGGCTCTCTCGAACAAATCACGAACACTCTTTTCACTAGCTCCGATGTATTTGTTCAAAATCTCGGGACCCTTGACACTGATAAAGTTCAATCCACACTCGCCAGCCACTGCGCTAGCCAACATTGTCTTACCGCAACCGGGGAATCCATAGAGAAGTAAACCGGACCGCAGTCGCAATGGGCACTGTGCGAAGATCGGGGCATACTTTGTAGGATATTGCAAAGTTTCCAACAGCATCTTGCGAGTTTCGAACAAACCACCAACCGAGGAAAATGTTGTTGTTGACGAGGTAAGAGTAACGTTACGAAGAGACGCCGGAGTAAAGTCCTTCAAGGCACTTTCAAAGTCCTCTAACCCGAGAGTTATCATCTTTGATGTTGCTGTGAGATCCGAGACAGAACGAATGAGGGCCTCGTTACGCGCACGAGCAACAAGTAGCACAAGATCACCGGGCATATACCCATCGGTTTTGCCAGCTAGCTCTAGATACTCAACATCCCTTCCAATAATAAACCCGTCACCCCCAGAAGAGCTTGGTCGGCTTCCCGGATTTGAAGGGTCCAACCATGAGTCTTGTGTTGAGGAGCTTGTGGTCCTCACATGCCCGTTTGAGCTTTCTGTAGGTTTATCATCGCTAGTAAGTTTTTCCAAAACTCTTCGGCGTCCTTCCTTATCAGGGGCTCTCATGTTGATAATCTCACGGACGACGTGGCCGCCGATGATAACATTATTGAGGGACTCTTTCGCCTGGGCAGTGGCCAGTAGCACAACAGAGGAATTCAGCGCGCAATATTCTCGAACCATAGAGCAGATAACCTCGCTGTTCTGGCGACTGCGGCCATTGTCTCCACCCACTTGCAATTCAGTCTCCGCCGGGCAAAGCTTGTCTAGATCATCAAGGATCACAACTGACTGGCCGCCAAGACGTGCACACCATGATGCGGACATGAACAGGCGGTTCAGGGTCTCTTTGATGTTGGAAATACGTGTTTCATCTGTGACGAGCTTGCGGCAGGAGAAATACTTGACATTGAAGAGATGATCTCGTCTTAGGCGATGAGCCAGTAGATGGGTAAGAGCTGTTTTACCAGCACCAAGACCACCGGTAAGCAGGATAGACGAGGATTTTGTTAGGTTGTTCAACGACTGTTCAATGATAGAATCAATCCCTACCAATTGAGGGGCAGTTTCTGGGAGAGGGTCCTCCATAGGTAGCGTTGGTGAATTAGTATCAAATGGCTTGGGGATTTCAGCTTGGACTTCAATATTCAACTTCGCTTCTGAGCCCAGCAACCACCCAAATATTGACTTTGTTTCATCCGAAGACCCCTTCAAAGGAGGATCAAAGCGAAGAATAGCACCATCAAACGAAGAGACTGAAGGATGATTCTCGGATTTGGGTATAATCATTCCATCAGTCAAAGCCCCCGAAAAAAGCCCGGTGTCGGACCCAGTGCTGCCGTAGATGACTTTAAGGCGCTCGGCTAGGGCATCCCGAGATGCCGTAGTATCAGCACCGAACTTCAGCCCGTCCTTCTTCTTTGAAGTATCAGTTATGAAAGGATAAATTTTGAGGGTCTTGACTGCCGAGCGATGCAGCTGTGGGGGTGCTGCTTCGACTCGGAGAATTCCTCCAACCATGTTCTCCGCACCAAGGGCCGTGCACAACAAGGTGGACATTGCCACATGCCAATTGTCCGGAGCCTCCTCCCACGAAAGCAATTTAGCTACGATCTTGGTTGTAGGGGCGCCAGCATCATTGGACTTTTGCTGCTCAGCTTGGGCAAGTTGCTGTTGGGGATCTGGTGGGGATTTGAGACCGGATGGCTGGACAACCGACACGCATGCCCAAGTTGCTCCGCGCAGCTCATGGCTGACCAGCAGGTCCGGATTAACCCAAATACGGAGGCCCTCATTTGCATCATCTTCTACTTCCCCATCAAAGTATTGAGTGGTCGCTGAGCGGTCCACGCCTCTCAAGTATAGAGAGCCTCGTGTGCTGGAGTCGGATCGACCACTCTTCGGACGTACGGTGCTTGAAGCACTCCTACCTCCAGCACTCTTCCTGCTGCTACCAGTAGCACTGCGGCTGTCTGCCCGAGAGCTTTTGGTTGTCTTGGATCGAACTTTCGGGGCCACTATGACTTCTGCATCCGGCGCGATCTTGGCGAAGGGGGAGGTGTCCGAGGGAGCGGGTGTAAGAGAAGTAACGACAATATTGGCAGTAGATGTGGGGGAGAGATGCAATGCGAGTGGGTGCATATGCACCGATTGCCCTGCATTGTATGTAGGATTGGGTAGAGCGCGGATTTGTGACAAGAGGTTAAGTTCCAGGAATGTGGCGTGGAGTTCGATGACTATTTGTGTCGAGTTAGTACCAGTTCAATTATAGTCGTTTATGACTTAGACATACTCTCCCAGTCTTCTGGTGTCAATGGCTCAATGTTTATCGTATGTGCAACGGGTGGATCTAGGTGGATGAACAATCCGACCTGCAAGTGTTAGCGCCACACGTGGGTAATGACGCACGGGGAGTATTGTACCTTCTGCCCTTCCATGAGACCAAGAAGCCGTCCGAAAGTAGTATCAAGCTCAACGGTGGATATTTCTTGCTCTCTGGAATATCCACTGTTGATACCGTCTCTCCCAACGACAGGCGCAAGCCTGCGCTTGCTCGGCATGCCCGTCCAACCGAGGAAGCATGACTGCTGCGGAGGAGCTCCATTGGCCTTTCCGGAGGTCGATTTATATTGTAATTCGATAATGACATTCTGAGCAGTCTGGTATAGCTAGAAGTTAGCCGGAAATGCTTCACAGAAACAGAACGACTAGTAGACTGACCGTGTTTGCATTGACCAGCAGAGCGACCAGCGACGGCGGTAGATTAACAAGACAGTTCTTGAGAGGGGTGAGGGCAACTTCGGCCGTCGCAGCAGGCTTCTTGGGCGCCATTTTGAAGCGCTGATTGATCGTGAGCACCGAAAGGACAAGGAGGAGGGGGAACTGTGAACTCGGAGAGACACAACCCCGGACTCCACACTTGACCTCTCTTTCGCCTCGGCCCGATGACGAGTCATGTGATGCATACCTCGATAACGGATAAACGGATAAAGTAATACTCCGCGATAATTGATACCTTTCCTAATCGGGTTAGTCTCATTTTCGAGCGCGTCCCGACCTCGCGTTCGCGTTTTACCTGCGAATTTGGTAGGGGCTCGGATAGACACTAGACGGACCCTCTTCTCTATTTCTCTCCCGATCCCACTATCGATTCTTTGCGCTTTCAATTGAGCGCACTTGTTTATTATGTCTCTCCTTCAATACCCCCCACCTGTGGATTATTCTGCGCAACTGAATGGCTTCAAGGATTTCTTGAAGGGGTTCAAGACCTTCCAATCGTCCTCGGAAGCTGCTGCGACCGAGGCATTGGAAGATCTGAACATCGATGACGGCCAGACTAGTGATGAATATGATTTCATGGATGATGTCGATGAGACCAACGGAGAAAACGCCCGAGGAGCAAGGAGGCACCGGGAGCCGAAGCTCAAGTACATGCAAATTCTGCAGGATATCGCAAACCGGGATACATCTAACATCCTGATTGAGTTGGATGATCTTTCAGTTGTAAGTATCCAATATAAGCCCCTTTCACTAAATTCTAGCTCACAATGGTGGTAATAGTTCGAGAAATCCATGCCCGAGGGAGAAGATCTGAAGCTCGTTGAGTCTATCGAAAAAAACACAAAGCGCTATATCGATGTTGTCTCTCAAGCGGTCGATGATGTTATGCCTAGGGAAACAAAGGATATCACGTATGTTCAATCCGTCTTTATGCGAATGCACAGGCCGCTAAACTGATTATTCCACAGATTCAAAGATGATGTCCTTGATGTGATCATGTCCCAGCGTGAGAAGCGAAATGAGACTATGGAAACTGCAATGGAGGCCGATATGGAAGCTGCTGCGACCGCCCCATCGATGTTCCCTCCTGAGCTTACCCGCAGATATACCCTCAACTTCAAGCCCCTCACACCCTCCGGGTCTAGCGCCGAGCGCGATTCCAAAGCCCTCGCCGTTCGTTATGTGCGCGGTGAGCATCTGGGTAGCTTGATTACAGTCCGCGGCATCACCACCCGTGTCTCAGATGTCAAGCCGGCTGTACAGATCAACGCTTACACTTGCGATCGCTGTGGTTGCGAAGTGTTCCAGCCCATCACCACGAAGCAATTCCTCCCCCTGACAGAGTGTCTATCTGAGGAATGTAAGAAGAACAACTCGAAGGGTCAGCTCTTCCTGTCAACTCGTGCATCGAAGTTTGTTCCCTTCCAGGAGGTGAAGATCCAGGAAATGGCCGACCAAGTCCCCGTGGGCCACATTCCTCGCACTTTGACCGTCCACTGTCACGGCGCTCTGACTCGCCAACTGAACCCCGGTGACGTTATCGACGTCGCAGGCATCTTTTTGCCCACTCCCTACACTGGTTTCCGGGCTATCCGCGCTGGCCTGCTGACTGACACATACTTGGAGGCCCAGCACATCACCCAGCACAAGAAGTCCTACAATGAGATGGGTATGGACAGCCGTACTCTTCGCAAGATCGAGCAGCACATGCGTTCCGGTAACATGTATGAGTACCTTTCACGGTCGATTGCACCTGAAATCTACGGACATCTTGATGTCAAGAAAGCATTGCTACTGCTCCTGATTGGTGGTGTCACAAAAGAGATGGGTGACGGCATGCACATTCGTGGAGACATCAACATCTGCTTGATGGGTGACCCTGGTGTGGCCAAGTCCCAGCTCCTTCGATATATTACAAAAGTTGCTCCTCGTGGTGTGTACACCACCGGACGAGGAAGCAGTGGTGTCGGTCTCACCGCCGCAGTCATGAGAGATCCCGTTACAGACGAGATGATGCTGGAGGGAGGTGCTCTTGTTCTTGCTGACAACGGTATCTGCTGTATTGATGAGTTCGACAAGATGGAGGACGCGGACCGGACAGCTATTCACGAAGTGATGGAACAGCAGACTATCTCCATCTCCAAGGCCGGTATCACAACTACCCTCAACGCCCGTACTTCCATCCTGGCCGCGGCCAACCCGCTATATGGTCGCTACAACCCCCGGGTGTCACCCGTGGAGAACATCAACCTTCCCGCCGCTTTGCTCTCTCGTTTCGATGTCATGTTCCTGCTTCTGGATACCCCGTCCCGCGAGGGCGATGAGGAGCTGGCCCACCACGTCACCTACGTCCACATGCACAACAAGCACCCGGAGAGTGAAGAAGCCGGTGTGTTGTTCACTCCCCACGAGGTCCGGCAGTACGTTGCCAAGGCACGCACATTCCGTCCTATTGTGCCTACCAATGTTTCTGACTACATGGTCGGTGCTTATGTGGCCATGCGCAAGAGACAGAAGATCGACGAGTCCAAAAAGAGACAGTTCTCTCACGTCACTCCCCGTACTCTGCTCGGTATCGTTCGTCTTTCACAGGCACTTGCTCGTCTTCGCTTCAGCGAGGAGGTTGTGCGCGAGGATGTCGATGAGGCTCTGCGTCTCATTGAGATCAGTAAGGCTTCTCTGTACAATGATGGCGAGCAGGGCGCCGACAACACGCCATCCAGCAAGATCTACAACTTGATCCGCAGCATGAAGGAGAGTGGTGCCGCTGCGGTTGGAGATGGCGAGGAAGGCGAGATGAGCATGAGACGTATTCGTGAGCGTGTGCTAGCCCGAGGCTTCACTGAGGATAACCTCACCATGACTATCGATGAGTACGCCGAGATGAACGTAAGTTTTGATAACTTCAGAAGTCTACTGTCCTTTTTTACTAACATTTTCTATAGCTCTGGCAAGTCACCGGCAACGGCACTCGTCTGCTTTTCACTGAAGTTGACGGCGATATGGACATGTAATTGTGACAGTCTCTTATTCTGTTTTTTTCTTAAATGTCGATTGGGCTTTTTTTTCGTGTTAAAGCTGCATGTGAAACTGGCTGGAATCAAGGCGACGGGTGTTTGGGTGTATTGGATAAATGGAGCTGGTACTTATGATTTTGTAAGGTCAATGAAGAAGATATTTCCAATCTACTTGTTTAATCTACATTTGCATCCATCTTAATTTTTCACTAGAGCAATTTCAATTAAAGACTGACACATGTACACATACAATCGGCCAGAATATCTCGCTATGGATCCAATTCAGCCCCTTCAAGCCAATTACACTACCCCCCATGCCTTCAGTGTCTTTTTTAAATCATCTTCCTGTCTCCCCCCACCCCACTACCAACAAACCCACTCCTACCCCGGACCATTATTCTAGGCCTCGCACTGATGTTGAAGCCCGACCTCCTTGCAAAGATCGGAAGGAGCAGCATACAGATCATCACATGGGATGTTGCAAGCTGTGTTCTCGGGAACGAAAACAAGGAACTCATAGTTCGGCATCGGCAAACGGAACTGATGGTACAAGTCCGTATTGTACTGAGAGGCCTTATAACCAGCACGGCAAGCGCAGTGGAAAGATTTTCCCGTGTTGATACACGAGGTCGAGGGGTCACACCAGTTTTCGCCCGAGATGGGATTGCAGGTGCCGCACTGGGCCCATGGCGATGGGTGAGCGGTCACCAGGGAGGTGGTTGTGATGATCAACGCGATGATGGAGAAATGCATCTTGAGGGATGGTTGGATTTTAGTATAGACTTATAGTAGATCTGATATGTTCTGTCTGGAGGTTGGTTTCTGATGGCGTTATCTTTTGCTGGGGAGTTCGTCATCTTATATAGTCGTCTCCAAGGATATATATGTTTACGTGAATTATTGGACTCGATAGTCCTTTGTTCAAGGAGATGTTATTCGCCATGTTCCCTGCGGGACCCCTCATCGTTGTGTTGCATCATGAGGTCATTTTCGGCCTGGGTTTCCTAGTATACTTTGCAGGCTGGTCCACGAAGGAGACGATGCCCATATACAATACCACGGTTGACATTATTGAAATGTCACCGGTTGACTTCTGCAATCCCGTACAGGCTCTCTATCAGATGTCCTACTATCGGATAGGACGGGGAAACAAAACCAACCGGGGGTGTGAATACGAGATCTGGAACAATACCTCAAAACATGACCAATGCTTACCGGCCAAGGTGATGTCGATGGCTTGCTAGCTCAACGTTGCCTTTGAGCAGAACGACTGAGTCTGTCCAGGTTTTGGAATATCAATTCGGCGGAAGGCTTTAGGCGGAGTGCATGTCTCAGGCCTATCCCTTCAGCCACATTCAGATCTCGACGTCAACAGACGTATAGAAATATGGAGATTTTGACTTGCCAAGGTGGATGTCTCACATTGCTTGAAGATTTATGGTTACGAGCTGTTGTATTTCCTTTGATATGGTCAGGCTTATGCAAGTACATACTTCTTCTACATGGCTTTTCGAGCTTGACGAAAGCCAGGTGAAAGCAAGCGAGACAGCGAAAGTTGGGCACTAGTTATTCGAGATCGAGGCAGTGGCTGTGACACGTTGTTTTGGTTTCTATTCACTCTGCATGCCATCAAGGGGTTGAAGGTGTCCGGAGACATTTTGCTTTTTTTTTGGCATTTTTGGACCCGCTGAAAGCTAATACTCCGAGTCTACGTAATGATATCGTGTTGTCAGGCGACCTTTATTAGGCGGTAGTAGAATATTCTCACCGAATAGTCGGCAATCGAGACCGGTTTAAGGCCCGAGTCTCAAGCATCAGCGCCGAAAGACGGGGTTTGACCATGCTGATCAATGGGTTATTGAAACGCGAGATTCACATACTATGGGCTGTTTGTTTATGTCAGGTGAAATGGAAAGAAAGATGCCCTATGCTACCATATAACACCACGGACATAAAGTCAGTGCAGTTGAGATTGCAATGTCAGCGCTGGATTTTCGAGTATGAAATGCAGGGTTCGAGACTTTTCTTTTGGTAACTGTAGACATCTTCTGGGAACCATCATAAAAGAGAATGAGACATGGTTTATTGGCTTGGTTTACGTGCAGCTTAGATACATGGGAGATATACTCCGGCGCATTCAACAGCTACACTATCTTTCTCGTAGATAGATGCATCGCTATGAACCTTGGACACGGTAGCCTAGAGGTGCGTCTTTGATCCGTCTGGCTCTCCGATTAGTCTCAAAAACGCCCCGTGAACCTCATCTGTCAAATCGCTAGCCTGCATGCTCCGCCCCTTGGTCGCAAAGGCTCGTCGCGAGCACTCTCGTGTAAGGCTACTTCCCGCCCAAGCTGCCAATAACAAAGTCGTTGTCGGGGACATGCGCTTGTTCTCAGAATCGAGCTCTGCCTGAACATCTTCCTTGCTCTGCGCTTCTTTCTCATTGTCCTGCTCGCCAGAGTCCCACAATTTGTCATGGTAAGCGGCTCGCCAGGCAAGGAATGTGCCCAATGATCCGGTTAGAGTGTCTCCTTGACCGCCGCTACGCTTCAAGCCACCCTTACCATCAGAGATGATACTAGTAACCCCGTTGGAGATCACATCTTGAGGACCCTTTTGGAGAATCGTGACGCCGCCGAGGGCTTGAGATAGCTGCTCACACGCATCTGATGCTTTGCTGATGGTGTCGCCATTTCCGCCTTCCGCGATCTCCACTTGACTGGCGACCTTGACACCCAGTGCTTTGGCTAGACGGCCAAACTCTACCACATTTGGCGTGAGAATGCACTCCTTGTAGCCTTTGACCAGGCTCGGGTCTTGCGTCACAATCAGCAATCCATCTGCGTCTAGCACAAATGGGATCGATCGTGACCGCGCCTCTCTGATCACTTCTGCGACTACCTTTAGCGTCACACCATCGCGACCGAGACCGGGTCCTATCACAAGTGCATGGAGGCGAGATAGCATCGCGATAATCGGACCTGCCAGTGATGGTGCATTGATTGAATTGGGATCCTTAACAGTATCGCTGCTTGGAAGCAATGGGTGTACCATCAAATTGGGAGAGTAGCCCTTGATAACCTGTGCATTACAGTTTTAGAGTGGATTCAATCTAGGCCAGATGTTAGCTTACTGGTGCTGCGGATCGTTCGCAGAGTACGTGGCTCTGGTGGTTGTTAGTTGTTTGCAGAAGGTATGTCATTTTTCACACAAACCATATCACATCCTACAATTCTGGAGTCAACATCTTTTCCCGAGAGCGTGGGCCTGTTCAGGGGACGTACCAAGTCTTGCAGAAGCCATAGCTGAAAAGTATGGGGCTCCGGTGTAGCTGATGCCAGTTAGTAGAATACCAGGGACATGAAGCAGAGAACCTACTCGACGCAACCTCCAATAACGGCTACACGACCAAGCTGACCTAGACTAATGATTAGCGCGGATGTTCATTGCGTGGTAGATAGGGACCTGATCAACAGACCTTTGTGGAACTTTTCAAGCATTGGAGGTACAATCTTGCACACCTTGCTGAAGAGGATTTTTGATGAGACTGAGACATGATGAACGGACTCCATGGTAGATATGTGAAGTCGTGGAATTGTGAAATTGTAGAAGATAACTCTCAAGGTTATGCCACAGGGCTGGAGGTGAACACGGGTGATGTCACCTGCCAAGTGGGGCCTAGACAAGCTTGTTTGGAGTTGTGATATCAAGACGATGACTTAAGATGAAATGTTGACTACAACATACACACAGAAAGATAATACAAAAAAAAGTTGATATTGAAAGAGCGCTCGCTATTGATGGTGCTTCAAAGCAAAAAATCCAGGCATCCCCGTCTATGGACACCCCGAACGCTCATAATGCGGAGTTAATATGTAGTCCTACCCAAAACAAAAGAGACCATGAAAACTGGTCACAAGTAAAAAATGTGAAAATTTGACAGTATAAAAATGTCGGAATTTCAGCGCTTGCTCCTAGAAGCAAGAGCGGCCAACTTCCGCTGGCGCTCCAACTTCTCTTTCTTAGCCGCCATTTCTGCTCGCAGCTCTTTCTCGTCCTCCCGTTTGGCAAATTCCAACGCAGCCGCCTCTTCACGGTCTACATCGTCTATTCCAGCCTCCATGTCGGACGATGCATCGGAATAGTAATCATCGTAGCCACCGAGGTCACCCTCATCTTCTTCGTCAGTTCCGAGATATTCGTTTTGCCGGGAATTGCGAGATTGGTGTCGACGGTCACTTCCACCACGGTTTGACGGCAGGCCCGCAGTTCCGCGGTAGGCAGGCGGTTCAGGAGTCTGCGTCGGTTTGGCCGTACCCTTGTATGATGGCCCCTCGGAATCCCGCTGCCGGACAGCAGGTTTGCCCTTGGCAGAAACACCCGATCCAGCCTTCCTTCCGGAACGCGCTTCTTTTTCTTTGGCCTGGAGTTCCATCATGCGCCGCTTGCGCTCCACTTTGGTAAGTCTTTCTTTGGGACCAGCCTGGTGTCGTAGCAGGCCTACTCCCACAGGCGCCGTCTCTTGCTTAGCTTTTGCCTGCGCCATGATCTCCGCAAATGATCCCTTTGGTGGCGGCTTCGAGGCTGTGGCAGTGCCTGCTGCTGTGGGTTTGGGGGTGGACTCCCTCCGTGAGGGTGCCACTTTTGGGGCCGCAGCCAAGCTGGATTTGGGGGTGGGCTTAGGCATGGTTGGCTTGGAGGTGGTGGTCGAGACTGGCTTAGACACAACTCTGGGTGGTGCTGATGATACCGCTGGCCTTGTAGCGAGCGTAGGCTTCATTGCAGCGGAGTTATTTGTCGCCTTGCTTTCAGGTCTTGGTGGGCGAGGCAGCTGGTCCTCAGCTTTGCGCTTGATCCCTCCACTGACATCCCCGCTGGTCGGAGGCGCCCGTCGCACAGCTGTCGGTTTTTGATCCTCTTTTTTAGGGATCGAAGCAGGTGCAGGTGAGGTAGGCGTCTGAGAGAGTGGGGATTGGGAGGGCTTACCCGTCTGGAGGGACGAGAGGACAGAATCGAGGAACTATGCTATGTCAGTCAAAATGGGGTGAAACGAACAAAAGGATCAAGTAGCATACACTCATTTTGATTAAAGGAGGAATAACCCGAAGGGTGTGAAGTCGAAGAGTGATACAGAGAAGAAGTCGCTCACCGTCGATATTTGGTACGACTAAGTAACTTCATGACTCCGAGCCCGATAGCATGAGAATAGATCGCTGGCTTGGCTCGCTCCGGATTTTCTGTTATTCCAATATAGCAGAACTAGCAGAAGTAAAGGACACGCCTGACTTGGCCCAAGAGCTTTCTAAGTGAGAGGATATACTCCGTAGACGAGTAGAGAAAGTAGCCAGGTTTCTGGCCAGCATGCAATTATCAAGGCCGGATAGGACATAGTCACGTGATAACAAACACCCTGCGCCACAGCACTCGCTTAGAAGTCCCGCCAACACTAGCCACACCCACTCGCACCACCTTTTTTTCAAGATTTTGAGCACTCGGTTAATCCTTCGTCAACCAACCTCTTCCACCAGAACTCGACGTTGCAGTCTCCGCCCAATTCGCGGTTAAATCGATTGTTTCTCTTGTTCAGATAATAATCACAAACGGTATGTACATCTCGTTTTCGTGCCTCTCAAACGATTTTGCGGCTTGAGAAGTGCGATCGCATCCGATCTTGAATTCGCGATACTAATGAAGATTTTTTTTGTCTAGTCCTTTCAAAATGAAGTATCTCGCTGCCTACCTCCTCCTCGCCCTTGCCGGCAACGAGGCCCCCTCCTCCGCCGACATCAAGGCCGTCCTCTCCTCCGTCGGCATCGACGCTGAGGGTGACCGTCTCGAGAAGGTCATCTCCGAGCTCCAGGGCAAGGACCTCCAGGAGGTTAGTGACACTCGCACGCGCATACATCCGACTTGAACTGCATGCTGACTCTTTTCATAGCTGATCGCCGAGGGCTCTACCAAGCTCGCTTCCGTTCCCTCCGGCGGTGCCGCTGCCCCTGCCGCTGCCGCTGCTGCTGCCGGTGGTGACGCCGCTCCCGCTGAGGAGAAGGCTGAGGAGAAGGAGGAGGAGTCCGATGAGGATATGGGCTTCGGTCTCTTCGATTAAGCGCTTTAATCCAAGGCCTAAAAATCATGGTTCTGGGGAACAGATGTTTGGTTGGTTCGTCAGTCCGGCCAAGATTTGCGCCGGTTGGCTTCTCAAGTATGTTGTGTTGAGACTGTTTTGATACAGTTACGACTTTTCATATAAGCTGGAATAAGCTTATAGTCAATACAATCCATCTGGCCTTCACTACAACTTTTATCAATACGTATATGTAGTTCTTGAAGGATCGTCGGGACCCGCTCAGCGTTTCAGCAATAGCGCAATAGCGTGTAGTCAAATTCGCTTGGAGAACTAGAGATTCAATCATCCACGTCATGGTAACTTAGTGTACTCAGATTGTACTCTGATAAGGACCATCAACAACCTTCCATTCCGATACGACATGTCCCTGGGAGGGCGTTGGGTAATCACAATACAAATAAATTACACTGCTAGATACACCATTTTTAACGAATCCCCCAACTAAAATTGAGTATGTAAATATTACAAAGAATTTTATTACGAAATAAAAACCAACGTTTCAAAATAGATTACATATGACCCAAAGGGGTATAGTGCCTAGGGCTTGGAACCTACCCGTCGCTTAACGAGTGCTGCCCACCTCCTAGAGCCTGTGTGTTAGCAGCCCGACCGCTCAGCGACACGACAATTTCCGACAACCCATCTTCCTTCGCTTTTCGAGATACGGTCGAAAGGCGGTTTATAGGAATATCTGCAAAAATGGCTGACACCGAATACGTGAGTTTTTTTTTGCCCTCACCCTTGAAGCCCGTGCGATATACTAACATGGGTTTTCACCTAGAACGCCGAGGAGGCTGCCGGTACGTTATGAACAATCAACCCCATCCCTACCCATCGCCCTTGGACAGAAGAATCGAATGAGAGGAGAGGGCGCGCACTACGATCGACTATACGAGGATCATTGAAGAAATATATGTTGGCGGGGAACGACATGGACCTGGGATTCAGGGAAACACGCACAACAACAAGATCGCAGACGCTGACTGAACATTCGACGAACAGAGATCAAGAAGAGAAGACAGTTCCGCAAGTTCTCTTACCGCGGCATTGACCTCGACCAGTACGTTCCCATTACCAATCATCGAACCCTTGGACATCCATTCGCAGCCAGTGCCTCGTGAGACGGAATTTGAAGATGGTCGTCTACCATCCCAACAACCACTATGGATGCACTGGGTGTGGCATCTCGGTTCTCGCCTCTTTGGCGCTGCGTTGCGAATGGACACCAAGGAATACAAATTTGCAAGGACATTGGTCTGACTGAATCCTTTGACAGGCTCCTCGACCTTTCTTCCGAGCAGCTCCGTGATGTCGTTCACGCCCGTGCCCGCAGACGTTTCAACCGCGGCCTGAAGCGCAAGCCCATGGGTCTCATCAAGAAGCTCCGCAAGGCCAAGCAGGAGGCCAAGCCCAACGAGAAGCCCGATCTCGTCAAGACCCACCTCCGTGACATGATCGTCGTCCCCGAGATGATCGGCTCCGTCGTCGGTATCTACTCCGGTAAGGAGTTCAACCAGGTTGAGATCAAGCCTGAGATGGTTGGCCACTACCTGGCTGAGTTCTCTATCTCTTAGTATGTGCTCCCGGAATTTGTTTCCCATGGTCATTAACTGCAGGTCACTAACAACCTCCCAGCAAGCCCGTCAAGCACGGTCGTCCCGGTATCGGTGCCACCCACTCTTCCCGTTTCATTCCCCTCAAGTAAACGATTTCAAACGATTCCCCTCGGAGTGGCGTGTGGAGGAAATGGTGCTGGGAAAGCAAAAATGGAATTCAGCAAAACTCTCAACTGGGCTCTTTTTTTCAGCATGTATTTCCAGTGCGGGTCAGCTGTTTCCAACTCAATTTAAGATCTTGTCGGCATGAAATCATCTTGGGATCTGGATTTAGTCCCTCGTCGAATCTAGCGAGGTAAAAAAAGATACTCCTTCCTTCGTCTCGCTTTGTGTCAACGGGGAAGGAGTCTAAATCTTAACGACACTACAAATTTCATTTCCAGGCACATCGTAGGTAACCCCAAGGGCCACATTAGTTAGACCACACTAGTCAACCTCGTCTCAAAGTCCCTGAGTCTAGGCCATGAGGTTCATTGAGACTACGCTGTCGTATTATCGTGTTATATACTATGAATTACTCCACAAATTGGACTCCGCTACCTTTACTCTGGGGAAGCGGGATCGTGTCATTTAATTTATGCGCTATGTTTATTGAGTCTCATTGTGTGAATGTAGATGGAATATAAAACTAGCGATGAATTGGCAGCACATTCTCGAGTGCAATGTGTTGTATTCTATCTATTTTATTTCTTCGGTAGTTGTAGATAGAACATATCTAAGGCTACAAATATATATTTCTGAGTGGCCTCTTGCAAAATGAGTCAGCCATTCCAGGTCGTTCGCTTTATTGCACTCATTGGCTCAAAACCGTTCCATGCCATTATGAGATCATCTAACTTCCAAGGGTTGGGGCTCGATGTTTATTAAATTGTGAGATTTCGATCCATGCCCTGCCCAGGTGGACATGGCGGGCACGTTGTGATGTCACCTTGCTCCCCGCAATCCTGCATTCACACTAGATCTTATACTTCAAGGTTCGCATATCAACGCTCTATTTAAGATATCTTACAACTATATCTTCCCTACTTCTACTCGAGATTTCACCTTCATCCGGCATTCGGTGAGGTCGCTTATCGCCGCGGAGTCCGTTAAACCGAGATATCCGAGTGCCGATCTCAACCATCTCAACAGTTATACTTCATGAACCTCAACAAAGCAGATGATTGTTCAAACCATAGTATGCAGTACATAGTATGCAGTACATAGTATGAAATTGGATGTTTCAGTTTGCCTATAAAAAGCCAATAAACACTAAGCAGTTTTAAATCAGGGCCTTCCAGGGTTCGGCCCCAGCGGTATTGGACTGGGTACTAATATAATGGGCCGAGGCAAGCCGTGAGCCGAGATTGCGGAGAAATCCCCATATCTTTTAAGTACTCGGTTGCTCGTGTGAATATATTTTCTTACATCTGACAGTCCCTTTGAGCCTCAATCACATTCCCCAGATTCAGCTCAGCATTATTTCCCCGCAATGCCCGTCCCCTCCAACTACCCCCTGGTCGACATCCCAGAAGTGGACCTGTGGACCTTTTTATTTGAGCGCAATGATAGAGCTTACCCAGATGACAAGAGTGCGTATTATCCACTTTTAATCCCAATGCTGCGTTGAATGCAACGTTTTCATTTCTCCTTCTTCCCCCCACTAACCCCCACTAGTTATCTACCAAGATGCCGATACCCAACGCTATTACACATACAAATCGCTACACGATGCCTCGCTAGATTTCGGCAAGGGCCTGAAAGCCCTGTATGAGTGGCGTAAGGGCGACGTTCTCGCCCTCTTCACACCAAACAGCATCGACACACCCGTCGTGATGTGGGGCACACTCTGGGCCGGCGGAATCATCTCGCCTGCGAACCCAGGTTACACGGTCGACGAGCTGGCCTTCCAGCTTAAGAACTCTCATGCCAAGGGACTTGTAACACAAGCCTCGGTGCTGTCTGTTGCGCGGGAAGCTGCGAAGAAAGTCGGCATGTCTGAGGACCGCATTATTCTCATTGGAGATCAGCGGGACCCCGATGCGCGGATCAAACATTTCACCTCTGTGCGCAATATCTCTGGTGCTACACGCTACCGTAAGCAGAAGATCACCCCTGCGAAGGATTTGGCGTTTTTGGTTTATTCGTCTGGGACGACGGGTGTGCCTAAGGGTGTCATGTTGTCGCATCGGAATATCGTTGCCAATATTAGACAGCAAGTTATTGGCGAGAGTGGGATGTTGAGCTGGGATGGTGGTCCTGATGGGAAGGGTGATCGGGTCCTGGCATTCTTGCCTTTCTATCATATCTATGGTATGGCTTTCAATTGTGCAGATGATTGGATGGATAAGATACTAACTACGAGTCTCTAGGATTGACCTGCTTAATTACCCAGGCTTTATACAAGGGCTACCACTTGATCGTCATGTCGAAATTCGATATCGAAAAGTGGTGCGCCCACGTGCAGAACTATCGCTGTTCGTTCAGTTACATCGTCCCTCCTGTGGTGCTCTTGCTGGGCAAGCACCCGGTAGTCGACAAATACGACCTTTCAAGTCTGCGTATGATGAACTCTGGCGCTGCTCCGCTCACCCAAGAGCTGGTAGAGGCAGTCTACGCCCGCATCAAGGTTGGCATCAAGCAGGGCTACGGACTTAGCGAGACCAGCCCAACTACACACTCCCAGCGATGGGAGGATTGGCGCGAGGCCATAGGTTCCGTTGGCCGCTTGATGCCTAATATGCAAGCCAAGTATATGACTATGCCTGAGGACGGATCCGAGCCTAAGGAAGTTGCCGAGGGCGAGGTTGGCGAATTGTACCTGAGTGGACCCAACGTTTTCCTGGGCTACCACGAGAACCCAGAGGCTACCAAGGGGTGTTTGTCTGAGGACGGATGGTTCCAGACTGGTGATGTTGGGTATCAGGATGCCAAGGGCAATTTCTACATTACCGATCGTGTCAAGGAACTCATTAAGTATAAGGGCTTCCAGGTGCCCCCTGCTGAACTGGAAGGATATCTGGTTGACAACGATGCTATTGATGATGTTGCTGTCATTGGTATTGAGAGTGAGGCACATGGCTCCGAGGTTCCTATGGCTTGTGTCGTTCGCAGCGCGAAGAGCAAGTCTTCTGGAACAAGTGCGAAGGATGAAGCAGCGAGAATTATCAAATGGCTGAATAGCAAGGTCGCCAGCCACAAACGTCTGCGTGGTGGTGTGCAGTTTGTGGATGAGATCCCCAAGAACCCCAGTGGGAAGATCCTGCGTCGGATTCTGAAGCAAAAGTTCAAAGGAGCGGCCGAGGCACCCAAAGCCAAGCTGTAAATGGCACACAATATACACTTTAGATCCGTTCGTGTCTATTTTCATATTGGAAAGATGTAAGACTCGAAAAGTAGCCTGTACGCATATCTAATCCTAAGCACTTCTGTAGTAACTAAACCTAGAGACTGAACCCCGGCCTCAATCACTTAAGGGAAAACTTCTTAACCATACCTTCAACATCCTCCCCAATAACAGCATCAACCTTCTCCCTCGCAACCCTCTCAACAGCCTCCTCAACCCCCTCCTCCCCATTAACAAGATCAACCCACCCCTCCGTATCAGCCCTAGCAAGCAAAAGATCCGCCACAATCGCCACATCCTCTCTCGTAACACTCCCCCCGACCCTTGGGCGTGATTCCCAGTTCGACCTTCCGCGTCGCAGGCTGGTCAGTCAAAAGCCCAGGTCGCAGATTAATAGCTTGGAAAGGCCGGGCTGGTCCAGACTCGCCCTTCCGCTGCGCAGCCAGTGCTGTCATATATTCGTCGGCTTCCTGCTTGGCTTGTGCGTATGTCGGAAGCACTTCCGTGTTCACCTTTACTACGCCCGCCCATTCGTCGTCGGGCATCCAGCTCGGCTGCTTGCGTCGACTGCCGAGGTATGACACCATGAGAAATTTGCTTACGCCTGGTGAGGCGAAGGATGCGGTTATGAAGTGCTTTGCAGCTTCTTGGTCGATTGCGATTGTGCGTGCTGCGCCGCCTTTGCCGCCGGCGCCTGGGTCTGTGTGTTAGTTTGTGGTCTGGGGATTCTGGATTTTGCATCATGCGTTATAGAGGACTGTATAGTTTCACGGCTTTCTTTGCTTGGGGGATGGCTTGTATCGGGTGTTGTGCGTTGATACAATGAATCCAAGTGCGGGGTGAGGGGTGCCATACCAGCCGACCAGACAACATAGTCCGGCGTAACCGTGTCGATAATTTTCTGGGCATCTGAGGGACTCTTGACATCCTCTAGACTCGAGAGTAGCACGTTGAGATTACCCTTGAGACCTTGGCCCAGTGCTAGAATCTCGCTTTCGTGCGCGGGGTTGCGGATGACGCTGGTTACGCTCCAGGCCCGTTGGAGGAGGAGCGGAGTAAGGTGGAGGGCGACTTTGCCGTGACCACCGAGTAGAAGGACATGCATTTTTAGTTATGATTTGGATGCGACTTTGTGTGTGTATGGGAGTAGATATCAGAGGGTTGGTCTTTCTGTGATTGTTAGTTGATTGGGGACCTCAGGGAAAGAACTCGTTGCGTCATCGCAATTTCTCCCAAACGGTAAGCTTGGCGTTGATTTATAATTGGGAAGCATTGCAGATAGAAATTGATAGATAGAAATTGATAGACCGAAGTTGAATAAAGGAGTAAATTGCGCTAATCTCATGTTTTACATTTTTAGTATAATCATTATAAGCCAACATTAAGAAGGTTGAAAACCATTCATTTTAAATCCATCTGTAGATGGCTATATATAAGTACAATTATGTTCGAAAGAGAGATGCGACTAGCAGCTATTTCACCTCCCGATACACTGGGTCATCTAGTCAAATTTGTCTTGATAACCTAGTCTCTGTCTGGCTGGTGTCATGCTGTTTATTAATCACCATTTGATCGCTGGCAATCTAGCAAGAAGCGCCGGAAGGCACACCAGAGCACTTGCTGCTCTTCTTACCACCAGTGAGGGAGTTTCCAGACCAGGTCCAGTTCTTGCAGCTACCGTTACCGCAGAGAATGTAGACGTCGGTACCGCTGCTCTTAACGGTACCGGTAACCTTCTCAACCTTGAGGCCGGTAATGGGGACACCGGTGGTGGGCTTGCCGGTAGGGCTGCCGTTCTCGTAGTCCTGCTCGATGACGATACCGTACTTGGCGATGTTGGACAGCTTGATGTTGGAGAAAGTGACGTCGGAGACGGCACCGGTAGCCTTGTAGATAGTCTTAACGCGGACACCGTTGTCGGAGTTAACGACGGTAGAGTCGGAGATAGTGACATCCTTCACGATGTTGTTGTCGCGCAGACCAACGGAACCAATGGAGATACCGTGGCCGCCGGAGCAGGTGCCACCGGTGAAAGTGATGTGCTGGAGGACAAGGGTTAGTTGATGTAATCTTTTTATAGAAGTGTCTTTTGACTTACCTCGCCAGAGTTGATAGCCAGGCAGTCGTCCTGGTTCTTGATGTTGGCGTTGCTGATGGTGATGTAGGTACTGGAGCCAACATCGAAGGCATCGGTGTTGTGGCCGCCCTTGGAATCACCGTCGCTGTTGTCGATGGTGATGTGGTCGAGGACCAGGTGGTTGGCCTGGACACTGAAACCCTGAACGGGGGTGTTCTTGACGTTAAGACCGGAGATGTTCGAGTTGTCCAGGTCGTGGGCGTAGAAGAACTTGGGCTTCTGCTTTCCGCCGTTGGTTCCCTTGCCGTCCCACCAGCTGGCGCCGCCACCGTTGATGACATGGCCGGATGCGCCGGAGATGTTAATGTTATCACCAGAGAAGCGGATGAGGGGACCCTTCCACTCCTTGTATCCGAAGGTGGTTTCGCCCTTGAAGATGACCTATACAGTAGCTATTAGATATTTGGTTCTTGGCGCTTGAATAACGGAGCGATCTACCTTAGTGCCGCTCTTCAGCTTGGAAAGGTCGAGGGTCTCGCCGGCGGGAACCTTGATGTTGTCCAGCACAATGGTAGAGCAGGACGACTTGCCAGCCTTGGCGGCGGCGGCCGAGGTGAAGGTACAGCTAGAGGAGCCGCGCTCAACGAGATCGGTAACAGGAGCGGAAGCTGGCGCAGCGGACACAGCGGCGGCGCCGAGGGCCAGCATGGTAACGAAAGAAGTACGCATTTTGAAGTAAATGTCCGATCAACAGACAATTAAAGAGAGTGTAGGTGTTCCGGACTAGCCGACTTGAGTGCAATAGGAAAGAAAGAATGAATGAATGAGTATGAACAGTCTATTCCATCGAGCTTGGCCGTGGTATTTAAATGCTTGGTCTGCACAGTATCCTCATTATAGCCCCTGCGCTAGTATCTCTATGAAACGGGACTACCACCATCAGTTATGGCGTTGACCCCTCCTTGGAAATCCAGGCATGCATGGATAATTGTCAGAGCTCCATTAGATTAATCTATTAGGGCCCAACTTGGCAACTCTCCGAAACACTTAACTCCACCTAGTCTAGAGCCCCCTGCTAACATGATCCATTGCCGGAATAATTAATACCGGAATATCTTCGGGTAAGGAAGCCGAGACACTGATTATTATCCAATGAGGATACGGCATTGATGTCTGCAGACTATATTATACCTCCACCATCACAAACCATGTGGAGCCCTATCAAGCTTGCGTTTCACGCCAAGCACTTTACTCGATGAATTTACGGATGTAGGGCTGGTTAAGTACGTGAAGACCCTTTCCGGAAGATTCTGTGGCGCTGAAACAACGCACCCTTTTATTTACCATATCTTTTGTTTGATTGGTGGCCTGTCTAGGTTATGCAGGCACGAGGCAAGAATGCACTAGTTATACCGACTATTTTTGTGGATGATAAATCATGTTGAGGAGCTACAAAGGTACTGCCGAGAGTCTACCTAGGTATTCATAATTCGAGCAGATAATCATGCAGACACCTCCTATTTAAGCACACCGTACTCCGTACTCGTACTCGATTAATACTCCTTTTTTTTCCGCTGAGCGCGATGAGATGACGATAGACCTCTGCATAGCCCGGCCCAAAGCCCAACCACAGCCTATTAAATGGGGCCCATCAAAGCCCATCAAAAGCCCATTTCTGTGCTCAAATACAGTCTTAGCATACATAAAGTAGATGATTAATGACTGTATTTTACGCAGGTACCAACCTATATCTTCAGTATTATTATATTATCATAGTAAGAAGTAGAAATTAAGTGGATTTTATACTGATTTTAGCATTATAATGCTAGGTTTTATACAAAATAACCCTAAAAAGATCTAATTTGACCATAAATTCGCACCTAGAAGGAATTATTAAGTATTAATATGAAGAGATATATATTATCTATAGAGGATTGATACTACTTTCTATGGTCAATTATAGTAATACTTATAGTACCTCTACTTACTATATAAACCCCTAATAAAAATAAGTATCTCTTATAAAAAAGTAAAGCTTTATAAAAATCAATTTTGATTCTTATCTATATCTTCTAACCTTTCTCTCTCTTAATATCTACTTCTTCTCTCCTTTATACTTCGTCTATCCTTCGCCTTTGCCGCCTTCACTGCCGTTGCCGCTACCGCTACCGCTTTACTAATACCCCTAAAGAACAGGAAAAAATGTATTAATTATACAGCTGTAATAAATTGGTATATTTGTATTGTTTGGTTAATAATGAGGGCCCATTATATGCCCTAATGGGCCCATAGCCGGCCGATGGGCTCGAAGGGTGGGCCGAAAGCCCAACCCATTAGTGGGTTGGGTTGGGCTATTGGCTTTATGGGCTATGCAGAGGTCTAGATGACGATGCGACGGTCGAGGTGACCCTAATATAGTAGGCTTGAACGAAGGATTCTCTGCTTTACAACTCAACGCTGTAATCCAGTTGAGCAAAATGCAAGATGGCCTTTTCGTTCAAACGGACATCCTGTGGATTCCAAGGTCGTGCTGCGACCCGGAATATATTGTTTCTAGCTGTGAAGAACCTGACATGGACGCTCGGAAGTTGCTAAATAATATAGCCCATGGGAATAGTAATTTTATCTATTTTATCTAACACGTAATATTTGTGAGTATATTAATAGGTCTTTTATAGCACTTTGACTATTTTCATTTGATTTCTTCCGGAATAGATCCGATAGGCGCGGCAAAATTTCCGTGATACAGCCAGAACAGTATACAATGAGATAATAAGGAATTGCCTCGAAACTACAATAATTCTGCTCATCAAGTTATCTTACGATCAGTTGTCATGATGGGCTCATTTCTCGAGAGCACATCGGAGTCAGAAAGAGAATATAAAGAAAGTGTTGATTCGGACTAGATCTTACTACGAATATATACATGTAGATATCAACCGTCGTCCGCTTGATATCATTGCTAGTTACATTAGTTTATAGGCACTTTACGTCATTCCTTGCTCTTCGTAAGATCTCCTGTGCTTTAAATATCTAGTTTGATGATGGATGGTAGACACAACAAGTTGAAGCTCGGGGCGAACGCCATTCTGGGCGTCAGTATGGCATGTGCTAGAGCAGGTGTAGCCCATTTAGTAAATCAGAATTAAAATTAACGATGGAAAATCATGGCTGATATATATTTAGGACAGCCCGTTGTATGAGTTTCTTCGACGTGAGTCTGGACCGAAAAAGCCATTCGTGATGCCAGTGCCGTTCTTCGATGTCCTGAATGGAGTTTTACATTCGGGCAATAGCATGGCTTTCCAAGAGACGATGATCGCTCCTGTTGGAGCCTCCCCTTTCACGGAAGCAGTACAAATGGGTAGCGAGGTTTTCCAGCAATTAAAAAAGGTCATTGTCAAGAAATTTGGACCATCTGGTTAGCGTACCTTTCACAACATCCTATGTAGCCATTACTGATAATTGCATCCAAGCTACCGGCGTTGGGGACGAAGCTGGATTTGCACCACCGATTTCCCAACCTCATGAGGCACTAAACCTCCTGGTCGCAGCCGTCTCTCTCGCTACATATACTGGTCGGATTAAATTCGCCATTGATCCTGCATCGAGCGAATTTTTCAGGGATGGGCACTGCGACATTGGGTTCAAAGACGACAAACCGAACCTGCAAAGCCCAAAACAGCTTGCAGAGTTATATTGCTCAGTGTTGCAAAATTATCCCATCGTTCTACTGGAAAATCCGTTTGCCGAAACTGATTGGGACAGTTGGATCGAATTCAACAAAAATTGCCCAGTCGAACTCGTTCGGGATGATTCACCGGTTACGAATACGAAAGTGCAATTCTATGCTACTCAAAATCAACCAAATAGGCACTATCTCCGAAGCAATTGAGGCGTTAGTTTCTCTTAGGTTTGCCTCCTATTAATCTGGAAACAATATCCTAATGATATATTCATATAGGGCGAACTTGGCATACAGTTTTGACTGGAGTATTTTTGTCTCCCACCGGTCTGGTGAGACTTATGATTTTATTGCAGATTTGGTCGTGGGCTTAAGGACCGGCCATATTAAATCCGGGGCACCTTGCAGGGGTGAGAGAATGGTCAAGGATAATCGGCTGATGGAAGGCAGAAATTTTGACAAAGGAAGAATGCATTTATGCTGGTTCCCAATTCAGGGTGGCATTTAAATATTGTATATTTAAAAAAAATCCCAAGACTATGAGACTATGAGATCATATGTTGTTGAGAATTGCCGAGGTCGGGCTACTCCGCGTCTACTCCCCTTCTCCCCCGGACTTCACCTGGGAAGTTATGCTGTAACTACACATCAACAACCCCAAACATGTCCGCACCGGACAAACCTCCAGCCCCAGGGGATGTGCTGGATCTTCCACCCCGCGCCTTACGCGACGTTCTCCGCGTTTGTCTAAGCGCCAAAGAGTACCGATTCCTTCACGAATCAGTGATTAAACGAGCCCCTGCCGTCCAAAACAAGCTCCCATCTCCATCTTGCTACGATGCCATCGCTCGTCCAAAGAATCGACACAGTGAAGCCGCTATTCGTTCATCGCTGCGAGTATTTGTTGGCTCCGGGATCGCGTTGAAGTTGGCGGATCTGTTGATTACCCGGTTCCAAGGCGCTCCACAGTAAGATCAATTTAATCTACCAAGAGCCTCTCCTTTAGAAATATGCACTAATGCTGGTTCTAATCAACAGGAAAAAGACCCGAACTCCCCTCCTCCGCTCTCCTAAATTCCGTCTCTCTATCTCCCTCTCCCTCCTCCTTCTCATCCATCGCCTGCTCTACCGGTTCCTCATCCGACTGCGGGCGAACCTTCGTACCGATGATGCAAAGCCGTTCAGAGAGCGCAACCCGCGCATCTCGCGGGCGCTGACCTCGCGCTTTGCGCCAGCGATCGGCGCAAGTCTGGCGGGATTCGCCCTGGGCATCTGCCCGCAGGATCAGCTCCGACTGACTGCGGCGATTTACACAGGCACTAGGAGTTTGGAGTTCTTGTTTAATGTCCTAGACTCTAAAGGCTGGTTGGATAAGCGCCCGTGGTGGTTCGGCAGCTGGCTGTTGATGCCCATCTCATTTGCGCAGCTCTTCCATGCTTTTGTGTTTGATCGCGAGACTACGCCTAATGTTTGTGGTCGGGATTCCTTTACACCGTGAGTTACGGTCGCTGATTTGATACCATAGTGGTTTGGAAATGTCATTCTCAAGCTGTCGCCGAGCTACATCCAAGGCCGACCAGAGTCGCTCCCGGTCGACATCGCCTGGCCCGAGAAGGAAGAGATTGTGAACTCTCTTGCCTCTATTGCTGATCTCCGCTGGCCGTAAGTTTGAAGCTGAGTCTGTTAAAGAGTATAGCGGTCGCTAATATGATACAGGGCATTCGTCTCTCCAATTCTACACCCGGGCGATCCCAACACTTTACCGTCATCAGTGGCTTCCATTTCCCCAATCACTGGACCAGCACACCCTGCAATTTCGAGTCTATCATGTGCTCTCTTGCACCCGAATCTCCCGAACTGTAGCACGGCATTCTTGCATCATATTCTCCTGTCCGTGCCGCCGCTCGCGCGGTTCCTCGCGACCGTCACTCTGGCGCTTTCGATACCCAAATTCAAGAGCATTCTGCTTCAGCCTATTTCATCAGTGAACACTATCTCGAAGCGCATTATCACCATGACAGCGGTTCTCTCTGCTGCAATTGGCTCAGCCTGGGGTAGTGTCTGTTTCCTGAACAACAACTTGCCTCGAACAACGCTTCCTACTAAGCGGTTCTTCCTTAGTGGAGCACTGGGAGGTTTGCCATTTTTGTTCCTGGGCAATAGCCGTAGCACATTCCTCTGGTTCTTCCGGGCTGCTGTTGATTCAGCGTACAAGACCGGGGTCAAGCGTGGACTATGGAAGGGCCGAAGAGGCGGTGAGCTACTGTTGTTTGTTCTGTCCTGGGCGCTTATGGGGTCGATCCTTGAGGGGAACCCCGAGGCCGTGCAGGGTGGTGGACTTCGTAAGGCTCTGACCTGGCTGAGGGGTGATGGATTTGGAGATCCAGTGGATATTGCTAAACGCAAATTGCGACGGGAATCGAAGAAACCCGATGGAGTATGAATTCGGAGTATGAATTAACCAGTTAATAGCCTGATATTTGGAGTTGGTCGGTGTGGAATTCACTTTCCGACCCCACGTTTGCGGAGAAGATCCTCGGAGATTGGCCTCCGCATTTAGTTCCCCGGCCCTTTATAACTCACAGCTCAGTTTTCAACATTCCCCCATTTTAATTTGCAATTGACCTTAATTTCTTGTTTTCCTTGATATCCTTGACCTTTACATTTTATACACAATGACTGCTCAAAGATTGAAGATCGGCTGTGCTGGTCTCGGCCGTATGGGCAAGCGCCATGCCCTAAACTTCCTGGAGCGTACTCCCCGGGCTGAGCTTGTAGCTGCCAGCTCCCCTGACCCCGTCGAGCTCGAATGGGCCAAGATCCACCTCGAACCTTATGGCGTAACTCTGTACCAGAACTACGACGACATGCTCAAGCATGAAGGTCTGGTAGCCGTGGTGGTTGCATCGGCAACTGCAGTGCATGCCGAGCAAGCAATCAAGGCAATCGAAGCAGACAAGCACACTCTTTGCGAGAAGCCCATCTCTACAAGCCCCGAAGTGGTAAGTTGGTTATGTTTTGAATCCATCTCAACGCCAATCCAGTCTAGTTTACCATGTACAAAGAAACAAAAACATTGAAACCAAAAACTAACATTCCACCTCTTATACAGTCCCAATCCGTCATTGACGCAGCAGCCAAGAAGCCACACCTCAAAGTGATGTGCGGCTTCTCCCGCCGCTTCGACAAATCCTACCGCGACGCCTACGAAAAGATGCAATCAGGCGCAATCGGCACCGCCTCCATCCTCCGCAGCCAAACCTGCGATAAACTCGACCCAAGCGGGTTCTTCGTCGCATACGCAGAGTTCTCCGGCGGAATCTTCGTCGACTGCTCCATCCACGACATCGACCTCACACTCTGGTTCTTCGGCGACAGCTGTAAAGTGAAGTCCGTATCGGCCGTAGGCAACACAGCCGTTGAGCCCGATCTCCGCAAACACAACGACCGCGACAACGCCATCGGCTTGGTCGAGTTCTACGACGGCCGCATTGCATACTTCTATGCTTCCCGGATGATGGCTGCTGGTCAGGAAGATACGACGGAGATTATTGGCACCAAGGGAAAACTGGCTGTTAACACCCAGCCTGCGCTGAACCATGTTAATATCTATGACGAGTCCGGTATCAGGAGGGAGATTCCTCAGAACTACTATGATCGCTTTGAATATGCGTTTGTTACAGAAGCGAATGAGTTCTCCGCTGCTTGTCTGGATAACACGGCGTTGCCGATTGATCTGAACAATGCTGTTAAGGCTGTGAGGATTGGGGCTGCGTTGCAGGAATCGTTGATTAGCGGGAAGAAGATTTTCTTCGATGAAGATGGAAACCGGTCTGAGTTGGCTCGTCTGTGAATAATGTGTGCTATGTCTTTCGGGTTTCAAAATATACGCCATACATACGTTCAATGTTGTTATAAATACCCTTTCGCAGATGACACAATATATGACTTTCAATATGGATGCAATCTTGTATCTCGGTTCAAAGTAAACTCATCTAACTCTACAATCTTGCAACACTGAAGGGAAATTGTTGAGATAAGCGCCTGGTAGGCATTGGATATTGGGATGGATGCTTGATAGTTTAGGCTAGTAGACTAGGGTATTCGATAGTTCTGGGAGCTCGTCTCGCCTTGTAGCCTCGACAAATATTATCTAAAATCCCGAGATTCATTATACGCATACAGGTAAGCGGATAGTCCTTTGCATAGTAGTGTTGACTTGTGTTAGTGATATTTAATCCCATTTGTAATCTAAAATAGTCATTCTAAGGTTTAGTTTGTTAGGGAGATCTATAGAGACGTCGAGATGCATAGTGTAATGTGAGATGATGGAAGAGTCGAGAAAGCTAGGTGCTAGAGACTGGGAGGCTTGACAGATTTCAGGCGTATAAAATAATGTGTTGAAGAGTTGATTGCTTTTACCTATATCAATCTAATTTCCGGATTTGATTGCCTGGGATGATTCTAAGGCTGGAAAAAGTAGGATTTCTTAACGCTAATTGAATGTGATGGCACGTATTGTGCTATTTCGTGGCTATTTCCATGGAACTGGAAAAAGCAAAAAAAAGGGGGGAATCATAAAACAAAGTGTATAAAATGAATATTCATAGAGAGCAAGTCGCAGACATCTACCACTTCAGGACCTTGGTGGGGAAGTACTCGTCAATGAGCTCTAGGTAATACGGCTAGAAAGAAACAAGTCAGTCTCGAATTCACAAATCATCAGAAGAAGCAAAACATACCTTCAACTCCTCAACACTGGGAATTCCATCACTCTTGCTGTACAAGTCATAAGGGTTGAAAGCCTTGACAGCACGCAGCATATCACGGTCGTGGTCATTCATCAACTCGTGGTACGCACCAGCACTGTGCCAAGGGTAGAAAGAGTGATAGCGGATCATAGCGAGCGCCTCGTCGGGAAGAGTCGACTGCTCCTTAGCGAGGTGGTAAAGGTACTCATCGTGACCCCATGAGAGCATGACCTTATCGAGACCACAGCCGGGCGTGTAGATACCAAACTTAGTATCGTAAATCTTGTGGCCGAAATCCTCGTTATCGCGGAACGAGTCACGGCCGTAAACGATTTTATCGTCGAAGCCACAGCCGACGGGGAAGGTGTCGCCAACAACGTCCCATTGGCCTTCGGCATCGAAGAAAAAGAGGAGCTTGCCCAGATCGTGAATGAGACCGGTCAGCTGCATCCAGCGGGGCTTGCCGTCGCGGCGAATGGCCTCGGCGGACTGGAGCAGGTGCTCGATCTGGGAAAGGCTTGTGTCGGGGTCGGACTCGTCGATCAGGGTGTTGAGTTTCTCCATGGCTTCCCAGACGGTCATCTCGGCGCGCGTCTTGCTGTGGAAGTCGTGGCGGGCCTTCAGGTTGTATGCAACGGTCTGCTTGGTGTGTTGTTCCTGGTAGAAGTTCTTGACTCGGTCGCTGGCGTCTTCGTACTGGCGGAAATTGGTCTTGTCTTTCTCCTTATCGAACTCGGACTCTTCGTATAGACCCTTCTCTTCGGCCTCTTTCTTTTCGGTCTCGCGCTTCTTCATGTCTTTGAGAACGTTGATCTCGTCAATAGCGTCGGAGAGCTCTTCGAGAGCCTGGCCATCCCGCTTCTTGAAGACAGGGGAGGCCTGTGGGGAGATGGCGACTGGTGCCATTTTGACTGTGTGGGAGAAGTAGTGTCTCTTGATTCTTATTGAATTTTTAAGATCGAGGCTTAATATTGCCAGATGAGATTGCAATTATCAAATCGGAATGTCTGGAGTTGAAGAGAGATAGACCCTAGGACGTCGAGTGTATATATAGGATTGGCTAGGAAAATCTACTATAGGGCATATCGCGTGTAGATTTCCGATGTCAGCGATTGTGCGAGGATTCTCCTCAGATCCATTTGCCTGATTTGCCATGACACCGATGTACAACATATGCGGGACGAAAAATTATGAAACATCACGGATTCTGGCTTCCGTGTCGATGAAGATCGGGGTTGCTCTCCAAAAGGACGACGATGATTGGCAGCCACTGCGACCCCACGACCATAAGCCAACCATGTGGAGTGGCTGTGATGTCAAGTGGAGAGAAATTAGTCGAACTGGAAGACGGTTTCCGCTGATCTGCTGGTTTATCATCTGGATTTTGATCTGACGGTTATTGTGAGATGTTTATTCTTTTTTTGAGGTCGATGAGATCGATGGAAATCCTTTTTAGATGGGGATATGGAGATAATATGCCCTTTTGAGGAAATATTCCAGAGAATATCGAACATCTTAGAAGACGATGAGGTGATTGATGGAAAAAAAAGGCTCTCCTGACTTGGCCCACGGAATAACCCCGATAATCGCGGGGTGTTGTTATCCTCTTAGTAAACTGGCCCCCCCACGCCTTTCTTTTCTTAAATATTTGAACTTCAATCTGTTTATATTCCTTATTCTATACTGTAAATAATCTTCTTTTCCTCTTGATACCCTATAAATTCAAAATGGCTGCCTATGATACCCGTTTCAAGCTCAACACCGGTGCGGAGATCCCCGCACTCGGCCTGGGAACATGGCAATCCCAGCCTGGCGAGGTTGCACGCGCTGTATCCCACGCCATCAAGGTGGGATACCGTCACATTGATGCTGCTCTTTGCTACGGCAATGAGAACGAAGTCGGTCAGGGTATCAAGGAGGCTATTGACGCCGGTATTGTCAAGCGCGAGGATCTCTTCGTGACTACTAAGCTGTGGTGCTCTTTCCACGCCCGTGTTGAGGAGGGCCTCCAGCAGAGTCTGACAGACCTTGGACTCGACTATGTCGACCTCTACCTGATGCACTGGCCCTTGGCAATGAACCACAAGGGTGAGTTGAATCTCCCCAAACGTACAAATTCGAGGCGCTGACCACTTCCACCATAGGAAACCACAACATTTTCCCTAAGCTCGCTGATGGCTCGCGCGACATTATCCACAGCCATTCCCACGTCACTACTTGGAAGAGCATGGAGAAGCTTGTTGGCACCGGCAAGGTCAAGGCCATCGGTGTTTCCAACTACAGTGTCAAGTTCCTCGAGGAACTTCTGCCCCAGGCCACCATTGTCCCCGCTGCCAACCAGATCGAGAACCACCCCTTGCTCCCCCAGCAGGAGATTGTCGACTTCTGCAACAAGGCTGGCATCCACATCACCGCTTACAGCCCTCTCGGCAGTACGGGCAGCCCGCTATTCACTGCTGAGCCCATTGTGGCCGTTGCCGAGAAGCGCGGAGTTACTCCGGCTACTGTTCTTCTTAGCTGGCACAGTAAGTATTTCTCAAGATTCTGCACCCTAGACTGGATAAATTGTACTGACTAATTATCCTCCTAGTCGCCCGTGGATCTTCAGTCCTGGCCAAGTCTGTCACCCCTGCCCGCATTGAGGCCAACCGTGCCGATTTGATCCACTTGGACGCTGAGGATCTGGCTTCCCTTCGCAAGTACAGCGATGGCCTTCAGGCCGAGGGCAAGCTCCAGCGCTTTGTCTACCCTCCGTTCGGTGTCAACTTCGGCTTCCCTGATAAGCAGTAAGCTTTCTTACCTGAAATAATGGCAGATAGACTTGCTACATGTATAGAGGGTCGGTGCATTTGCGTTTAATGATATGGATACCAAAAGGGAAAATTTATGATTTCATGAATAACACTGGATACTTAAACTACATGACGGCTATGCTTTAGTCACTTATCACTTATTACATGGATATAGCATTCTTCTACCTCTCAAGCTGCTCAACCCCACTCTATACCCAAGTCCATCTGTTACTGCGTATTTTAGATTGATTCCAATTATTTACTGTTTCGGTCTTAATTTTACTTTTAATTTGCCATTGATTCACCTTCGAACTTGACATTCAACCAAGCTAAATCTCGTTTTCGGTCTCTTTTTCCCCCTCGTCACCCCATTCACAAATCAGGGATAGCAGTAGGGAATGTTGCCATTGTGATGGCATAGCACGCCACAACAGAAGAATTAATATGACCAAATTCATCCACGATGAGCTCCTAGGTCGTCTGCTTGAACGAAATAACGGACAAGTAGCGGTTAGCTGAAGGCAATGCCGGAATTCTTACACAACACAAACAAGACTCATACAAAGGTGATTAGAAGCTGACCAGAATCTGACTAGAAAGCGAAAAAATAATTGAGATGATTGTAAATTTCCATCCATACCCCAACTGCACTTCTACCCATCCGTCACACCACACAGGCCCAACCCAAGGGTTTGACAACCACCACTAATAGCTTTCCAGCACCAGGAAGCGGAGACTGCCCATCCAGTGCATTTTCCGTGGTGCCTAAATATCCCGCGTAGTGGCAGCAGTCTGTATAGTGGAGACATAGCAGGACCTCCGTAGATTCTGCCTTGGTTGGTCGACATATGGGGTTTAGCCCACACATGCTGTATCCCTCTCCATGCCGCGAGCTAGACTCCATAGATCCCCATCCGTAAACCAAGATACAGGATACAGCCCGGATTATCTGCGTGTGCAGCAAATTGCCGGGCGCCAACGCAGGTCGGTCCCACGGGTTTATGAATGGTGAGCCCGAGTATGTAGAGGTTTCGAGCTGTGAGTGGAGAAGGACAGGAGGAGCGGATGGTGACCTTTCTCCCTCTTTAATCCTGTGCTTTGGTCTCTTAAAGGAAGGCCGGGGCAGCAGCAACTCCGGACTCACATTGTGAGATGAAAGTGAGGGAATTGTGATGGATAGTCGGCTCTCTCTCTTCCGCCGGCGCTGGATTGCCTGGGGTCGCTTTCTGGCCTCCTTACTGTGGCAGCTATTCTTACGCTTTTGCGCGATTGCTTGTCCCACGATAGTCTCGCCGTCAGAACACAGCGTGGGGGCTTTAGACTTGACCGTTCGAAGGGCCCGGCTATCAGTGCGGTTTACACATTCGACAAGCATCTCATACAGAGAGCCGAGAAGATCTCTCTCCCTGGAGTTGATAGGCCGAGCTTGAATTGGGAGAGGGTGGGAAGAGCCAACTGACTCAGCAGACGTGGTCGGAACGGCAATAAGTTTAGCGAGATAAGGTCCTTGGTAGGTTCGTTGACTGAAGCACCTTCAGCTGAGCCAGGAGAGTCCTGCAAAAGCGTTTCATTTACAACTATCTTGTTCTTCCTTTTGTGGTTCTTCCGCTTCCTCTGATTGATAGTGGCGACTGATTTAGGTGGTGTCTCATTTTTCTCGAGTAGGCTTTGTGTAGCCGGTCTGTCACAGCCGTCTTCATGAACTTGGCTGTCCGTGATACCAGAAGGAGGATGTGATACAACGCCGTGATCGGGCTGGTGAAAAAGTATGTCAGTTAGAAAGTTTTCCAAAAAAGTACATATATCAATACCTACTTTCTCTAGAAGAACCTGGTGCCGATTCAGCAAGATACCCTTACATCTGGCTGCTTCGATCTCAAGATACAAGTGGGCCCTTTTATGCCACCCGATGACGTCCTTGAGCTCCGAAATCCTCACGGGGGTAACATCCCTTAGGGTAAGCTCGGCCGGCCTTGCAAGTCGCAGGGCATCAGGATATTTTCGATCAAAGGCAAGTCCACTTCTCCTCGGAACAAGTTGATTTGAGCCAGTGTAGGTAGGTTGTCGATTTCAGTTGCTGGGAGATTAGGCAGAGTAACGACAGAGTTTAGTAGACCCATCTGGCCTTGCCAAAATTGCATCTCGTGCATCAAATTTCCATATCCCACACATGGATTGATGGGAATTTCAGTCGGTTCTTCCGACAAAATAGGGAATGGGTTAGGGTAATCAAACTGCGCATGGATCCATGCAATATCCTGCAGGGACTTCTTGAACAAGGTGTCATGGAATTCTTCTATAGTTGTCTCAGTCATGAAAAGGCCCATGACGTGGGTCAACCGCTGCATCTTAATCATTGTTGAGTCGACATGTGTCACCCTCTTGGGCGGCGATACGGGAGGGTGAAGGGGCCATATTGGTTAGTCTCGAACAAGAAGACAAACGACGAGAGACTACGAGAGACGAAAGAGATATGGAGGTTTGATGAGAATTTTTACCAAACTGCGCCTGGTTGTGTTGTTTTATCGGACAAAATTTGACTTGAATGGAATCCCGTTAAGAGGAGGATTGGTGAATCTTGAACGTGAAGAGCCACACAGAAGGCAAAGCACACAGTGGAAGCATAGCCACAGAGAGACACGCACTTGATGAAATGAGTGCAGAATCTTCATCGAGACCAAGTAGTGTAACAAAATTGTAGAATGCTTTGAGTAAGGATAGAGTGAAGCAGAAAAGAGACAAAAGACAGAAGAGAAAAGAGAAGGGAGAAGGGAGAAGCGACAGATAGAAGAGGGAGTCAGATATGACAACAATAGAAGCACTCTGGTTTTGGAAAAAGAACTGATTATGCTTCCTCGCTATTGAGCTTACGATTGTTTGGCTAATATCGCTATGGCGCTCATGCTTCGCGTCCGGGTCCCATGGCAGCATATCAAATACTACAAATTTAGAAGTCACCATAGGGGAAAACGAGAGAAATTTGTGCTGCACACATAGTTATCATTCATGAAAAACCTTGGATGGTGTCTCATAGTCTGCTATGGTGGCTGGATATATGCATTTGTGTTTCCCTCGCAACAATGAGATCAAGCATCCAAGGGCTTTGTGGTCACGTGCAACAACCGCATGGTACATCATCAGGTCATTGAGTATTGATTACAGGAAAGGCAGAGAGAAAACTTGGTCAATAGTAGGATATGCCTAGCATAAATATCGTCAATGACTCTTCTTTGTTCTCTCCTATGAGACAAATAGATATCTCAGCGCCCCGTTCTATCGCTCATACACTGTCCTCATTCCCCTCCTCCCATTACGGATGTTGTTGTTGTTGTTGTTGCGAGGAGGCATCGCCAGAGATACATTTCAGGTGAAAGAAAGTGGTCACTACACGTGCAAAAGATGGCTTGAGTTATGGAGGTAGAACGCTAGAGAACTATACCTGTTCCTGATGCCTTCCAAGCCAACTACGCGGGTTTGAATCCAAAGTTTTTGTCAAGACATATTCACTAGGAATCCTATCAACTGTTACCTGGCATTCAATGAAATTCAAGCTCAGGGGCAAGAATCATCCGTTAGGGCATCCAACAAGGCTCTATCTTTCTACCAGGTAGTCGAATCCATACGACTAGGTTGCTACTCTTTGAAGTACGTAATGGATATAGTATAGGCGGTGCCATTAGATTAAGTCGGCAAAATCCGGACATCCACAGGGAGCCATGGGTTACCGTTTGGCGGGCCATGTGTCTGAATATCCACCGAAGGGCCTTCGGATCAGATAAAAGCGCCACAGTACGCTAGAGAAACCCAGACAAGTAGGTCAATCTAATCAGATCATCAGACAAATTATCAGATTGGATACAATTCGGAACATTTCTAGAAAAATTGAACCCGAGAAGCATCCGACTAGGCCGAGGCGCACGGCCATATCCACTCAGCAACGTGGTAGAAGCTCGGCTTGTTTTTCCATAGGGGGAAATGTTCCCGGGAGACCAATCACTCTGAACCCAGTTGCCAGGCTATTATTGCTCTGCTAATTGGAACGATGTGGATCGGAATCTTCAGCTATGTATATGTGATCAGGGCGGTTTGGGCCGAAAGGAAAGGGGGTTTACTGGGATGCCATGCAAAGACGGTAAAGACGCAACTGGAAAAAAAAGTTATCAGATCTTTTTGGTCCCTGGTTCCACCTTTAAGTGGATGGGCTTTAGTCATACATGGATCTCTTCAAATGACACCGAACTTTGTAGACTATTAAGGTAGGTACGGAACATAGTGATATGTATGTATTGGTCAAGTCCCGTAGAATTTATTTAAAGCAAATGGATACAGTCTTTTACATACATAGATTACTTACATAGTTACTAGCGGTATATTTTATGAAACCTATCTTAAGTACCACATTACCATAATTACACGCCATACCGCTGTTCTTTCGGTAAACGAAAACAAACACTAAGCGAGCTGCAGGTCGCTGAAAACTCGGCGTGGGCTCCTCCGATTCTTGGCGTATGATGTCGAGAGTGGAATAAACATCCGATCCTCGTGTATCATTACCAAGTTATCTGTCCAACCGTATAGCGTTGCAAAGCTGATGTTATTATTGTCTCGAAAGGTCGTAGCAAAGACAGATTACAAGAATAGAAACATTCGTTCGGATAGTCATAACATTCTGCATTCAGATCATTATGTGAATATGATTAAATAAGTTACAAAAAGCAAAGCCGGTCGAAAACTGCCTAGGGGCAGCTACTCGTATTTTGGATATAATAGGAACGGGGTCATCAACAGTGTCGTTGTCGAAAATTATCTCCAAGGGCGAGGGCGAACATCTCAGAAGACGGTACCCTTGACCTGAGCAACCTTCTTCAGGTCGATGTCGCGGATCATGAGGGACCAGAAGATGCACAGACCCATGAGACCGGTGCCAACAGCAAGCATTCTTGTCTGAGAATAGGCATAAGCTTCCTGAATAGCCAGTCTCGCGGCGGATCCGGTGGGGTAGGAGATCTGCTGGGCAAGATCTTCATAAATTAAATCGATGTCTCCCATTACAGACTCGGGAAGCCTCGTCTCGAGGGCTTTGTAGAATGTGTTGGTCCAGATTGCGGCACAAATGGTAGAACCGGCAGCATTGCCGACAGTACCCACGACATTCAGCAGAGCAAGGACAGTTGCGACGTGCTGGTGGTCGGCGGCAGCCAAGATAGCAAGCTGCTCAACAATGATGAAGACAGATCCACCAATAGAGATGAAAATCTGGCACATAACGAGATAACCAACAGATTGGTTGGGACGGCGGAAGTAAATCATCAACCCCTGGGCAAAGATGTACAGCGGGACCGCAATGTAGAGAGTCCACTTGAAGCGACCAGTCCTGCGAATGACGAAACCGACTCCAAGCAAAAGGAAGCCGGAGACAACATCGAAAGTGTTGCTAACGTAACCAGCCTCGGAGATGCTGAGGTCATTTACTACCTGCAAAAAGGAGGTATAGTAGTTGTTCCAGCAGTAGTAAGAGAGCTGGTATGTCGCGTCGAGCAAGCATGCACCAATAACAGTTCGATCAGTCAACAAACTGAAGTTGAACATCGGGGTGGGAGCAAAGCGGAACTCCCAAATAAGAAAGACACCAAGCATAACAAATCCGAGCACGATCATCGCAATGATGTAGCCTGATGCCCAGCCGTTAGGAGCATAAGTAGAAATGCTGAATGGAAGGAGGAAGATTGTAAGGCCGATAGAGAACACGAAAACACCAAGCACTATGCAAGTTAGTATTTGGCAAGGTCTAACGTTTGGAAAGCTCTCTACTCACAATCGAACTCCTTGATATAGTACCAAATGCTTTGGAGGAAAGTCCGGCCGCTAGGCTCCTTGACAATGAGACCGTTCTGCTCGGCCTTCCTCAAGTTGGCCTTCAGAATGAAGTAAAGAGGGGAGGCAACAATGGGGAAGATGATGGAGAATGCGCCAAAAGCCCATCGCCAGCTAATGTCTTCGTAGAAGCCCTCCGCAGCCTTGGGGCCAGCGAACGCAGTGATGATGTATGGCGAGGAGGTGAAAGCGTAAGCCAAACCTCGATTCTTGAGCTTGGAAATATCGGCGGTGATGACATCCACGCAGTATGTCATACCTCCAAATCCAATGCTGTAAAAGACGTAGGCAGCGCAGAACGTGGGAAGGTTATGGCACACAGCCATGAGAACCAGACCGAGCGTAGCAAACACGGTCATGGCCAGGAAACCCTCTGCACGGCCCCAAACGTCCATAACCTTGGCAGTTGGGATGTACACTGCGGCTGTCATGGCATCTGCGACAATGTAGATGACATTCAGTAGGGAGTGGCTCTCAAAGTCACTGGTGACATAGCTAAGCAAACTGTAGTTGATCGAGGATTGCATCGCATTGACGAAGTACAAAAACCAGATGCTATTGAAGATACGTATTAGTGAAAAAGCTGGTTTGCACGGGTTGATCGCCCCGTCGAAGTAAAAAAAAAAACTAGGGCTTACTTTGCAAAGACCGCAATCAGCATGGTCTTCGTCCAGCTCAAAGTCACAGCCTCGACATTTCTGACACCCTGCTGTAGATTTTCGGTAGGAACTTCAAGGTCTTCCTTGTTGGGCAAAACACCGGCCTCAGTGGGCATTTCGCTCTTTTTTTCGCCATCATTGGGCGCAGCGACTTGAGTAATAGACTCCTGGGTCGATGACCGCCGGAAGGCAGATCGGAACATGGAAATACCCATGATGATCTGGAGATCTGGAAATATAAAAAGTAGGCTGGTGGAACTCAAGAAAGTCACAGAGCCCAAGGGAAATCCTTGCCCTTATAGTAAATATAATTTCTGGTTATCAGTGCTCCAGATCCAGCGCTTAATAAAAAATACCGAACTCGGCAGATTGGTACAATCTTGGAAGACTAATGCACCCCACGAGGTCAAAAATGAACCAGTAAGGAGAGTCTTGGCGATGTCCTAGTGTTCATTCGCTGGATAATAATCTAGTAACCGACATTTTTTTCTCCCCCATAGGGCTTTTTTGGGCAGGCCATGTGTGGTTAGCCCGCCTGGGGCGTTGGCCAGAATGGGACATTCCGAAGATAGAATCTAATCAGATTGCATAAATAATGGGGTTTGTACCAGATAGATGCAGTGAAGGCAATGTTAACCGGCGATAGAAAACCGCTTGAAGCTCCAAAGCAGCTCGTGAATGTCTCCGATTGAGGCAATTAATACGTGAGACGAGCTTGGCATAGCTTGGCATAGCTTGGCACCCATCGTGGAATTGTCCCACCGCGACAAGAGCCGGAAAAAGAAATAAGAAGGAAAAAAAAATACGCAAATATTAATGAGCTAGATTGGATCAATGTGTCTAGGCGTCGTGGCCAGCACTAAAGCTGCTAAACGTGCGAAATCCGTGCGGATTCACCCCGCTGTACTCCGTACATCGTACCATATACAACACACGAATTGCCAGTGGATATATTGTACTCTGTAGATACTAGCAGTATGCATGTGGTATTATACGGATGTCCACGAAACAAGAGATTACTAAGATTGTTTAGAACATCTATATAAGTGGCAGACTTCTCCATGTATAAGATAGGCCTAGGTATTTCCCTGCATATTTTGGTAAATACACACCTCTTCTAGTTTAAAGTGCTTACCATGTGCATTCTGTTTTGTACTCAAACATTTCCAAGATTCAAAGAAAAATAAATTAATTACGTCGCGTTACATTTAATCAGATAAGTACATGTCCCACCATCAACCATGGCACCGCCATCCGACAGTGGAACTAGTTGCGCCACCAATCTGATTACAGAGTAAGTTGAGTGTACTTTTTTTTCTTCCTCACAATTTCGAATTCTTCCAGCTTGGTGACCGTTTCTCCACAAACGCCTGGATGCCTTCGGCAAAGTTAGGGCCCCCAACCAACCGAGGATACCATTGATCCGCCAGATCTGATACAGTATCCTCTACGCTGCCAGCTTCCCAGCTCATCCGAACACCCAGACGGCCAACAATAAGGGAATCGGGACTGTTTTTGCACATGACCTCGGCAACTTCGACTGCTGCTCGGACAACATCGGCCGGTGAATCCACAACTTGACTGATCAGACCCCAATCATGTAATGTGGTGGCGCTCACGCTCCTGCCAGTGAGCACGAGATCCATCGTGCGTTGCAGCCCAATGGTGCGGGTCAATCGCGGCAAACACCCAGCAACTGGCACGATTCCACGCTTCACTTCCGGAAGAGAGAAAATGGCTGAGGATGAGGCTAAGATAAGATCGCAATTTGCCACCATCTCGAAGCCTCCGCCCATGCAAATGCCGTTTACGGCGGCAATGATCGGTTTCTTGCCGGTCCGGCGAGGTAATCCGGCCAGGCCCGGCGCGGACATGTCATTGACGACACCAGCTTTGTTCATAGCGTTCCATTCTGTTCACTTCAGAGTCAGTCTTTGTCTTTGATATCTTTAGTGGCAGAAGAGAAGAAACCCGCCTCCTAGATCAGCCCCTGTACAGAAGGCTCGGCCGACACCGGTGATTATGGCGACCCATAAGCTTTCATCTTCATCAAACTGCTCCCAGATCTTGGCAATCTCTCGACTTGTAGTTTTGTCGATGCAATTTAGCTTGTTCGGTCTATTGATTGTGACCTGGACAACCCGCTCATGAGGAAAAGAAATAAAGAAATTCTCATAGTTCAAGGGTCCTGATCGTAAAGACATGATGAATTGTGAAGCAAAATATGCAGTGTATTGTGACTAATTCAAATTTAGTCTTCGACTTTATATTTTCCTCTTGGGCCAGGCTACGGATTATGTATTATCATTCGTAGGGGGAAGCTCGGTCGCAGAAAGCTTCCACGGAACCTCGGAACTTACAATAACAAGGCGATATCGGTATGTATGTTGCCCATACAAACATACAATATCATACATACAAAGTTGTATCCATATTTGAAAATAACAGACCCATAGGGCGATCTCCGAAACAAAAATTCCGCTCTAGGACTTCTCACAGATGAGGAAGGATTCAACCTCGGTTACTATATCCTTGCTTGATCATCCTTAACCTTTTTAGGATCTCACCTACATATAATCTGATCGTGCAAGGCGGGGAGCTCTCTCTTTTTTTTTCTTACTCCGAAACTCCAATCCCTTCGCAATTCTTGATCCTACCATCCATTGACGATCGAGAAATCTACGACAATGGCCTCGAAATCACACCAGTATCCTTTGGTCAAGCTACCACACCCTTATCTGACCGCATATCGTGTGAACACCGTCTCTGGATCGACACCGGCTAGGCACAACCTGACACTTGATGAACAGCCCGCAAAGGGTCGGTCTTTGCCTGAACAACTACACTCAGACTCGCTTTCATGGCTTGACTTGACATTCATTCCCAAGACCGAGCAGCCACCTATCTCAGATAACACTCCCTGGGGTCGCGCACGTCGCAGTCCCCAGACTGTCTTCCAGTGGTCAGGGAACAGCCCCCCTTCTTTGGGCCAAATTTGGAATGTGATCCACGCTATTTACCTCGGCCACCTAACAATCGAGTACTTTAGACTGACTCTGTCCGGCACAGGGCAGGAAGTCATCTACAATGAGCTTCTTACCACCGGATTAGCAATCAAGCATCCAAGAAACCTGCGGGACAGAGAAAACAAGGCTCTTCAATTCGACGATTTGCTGATTCTCCGAAGCGCCTTCTGGCAAGGTGCTGCTTCTCCATTTGGCCCTCGTCCTATCTGGGTGGTGGGAGATGGTACAGACGGCCCCATGCGGGAACCATTGTCTCAGTATCCTATCATGCCGGAGAACTACCAAATGACAAACAAGTTCCCCGAGGAGCCTGTATATACCCGCCACCCGACTCGCCGTCCCAAGCCGCACCCCGGATCCATTGTCTACAGTCGCTACATCCCAGAGATCAACGAGCACTTCTCCCTCGAAGTTGTTGACTGGGAAAGTGCGGAGCACGTCCAACTGTTTAACAAGTGGCAGAATGACCCGCGTGTTGCTGCAGGCTGGAATGAGACTGGAACTATTGAACAGCACACCGAGTATCTGCGTAAGCTGCACTTTGATCCCCATGTGCTGTGTCTGTTCGGACGCTTCGATGATACCCGCTTCTCGTACTATGAGTTGTACTGGTCAAAGGTAAATTCCTTCAATCGGTCGCGCTTTAGCCTGCATATATGCTAACACCTTGTCTACAGGAGGATCATTACGGCGCCCACTACGATGCTGGAGACTATGATCGCGGCCGTCACTCTCTCGTCGGCGATGCCAGCTTCCGAGGTGCACACCGCGTGAATGCCTGGTACTCGAGCTGCATCCACTATGTCTTTTTGGATGATCCCCGGACCGTCAATGCTGTCGGCGAGCCCAAGGCCACCGGCGCGACCATCTTGTCCTACGAGAACGCGCAGGGACTTACAATTGGCAAGTACGTCGATCTCGGACACAAGCGATCGGTGCACTCGATTTGCAGTCGTGAAAAGTGGTTCCAGTTGTGTCCTTTATTCTGGGATGGTCGCGAGCGACCTTTGGAATCTGCAGATCGCGCCGCGTGGAATGCCAAACTGTAAATTTGCTTGTGCTTTCTTGACTATTTCTTATCACTGATCAACAAAACTTACAATATTCAATGTACAAAATTTCATGACATATTCCTTTTTTTATTTGCCGTCATCATCCCGAGACAAGTGGGGTTAACTCGTGTCGGTCCACAATTGAGCTTCCTTCTTGGGTCAGTTCCTCCTAGCAACGCGTTGTCTACTCCGCTTTGCCCCAATCAATCAGATAATCTTTCAGAAGGTTTTTTATTTATTTTAATTGCATGTGTGACGAGACCCACATGGCTTCGTGTGTTGTATGTAATAAATAACCTTGGAACAATAACAATAATTCTTGTAAAATGTTATTTTCGCACATTTAATATGCAAGATCAACCAATTTGCATAACACTATGAAACACCAAAACAAAATATTAATTAATACGTGTTGCTAGAGCTGAGAAAGAATTTGGAGACGATTCATTGAGGTTTTCGTAATTTCCCATCTATCCACCACAGCCAGCAAAAGCGGAGAGCAAAATATTTCCGTATATTTCTTTTTTTTTAAAAAAAAGAAGAATACAACGTGTATCTTCTCTAGATGTAAAATACAGTCCTTAGAAATAACTTTGACAATACAGCCGTATTTACCCGAGCATACACGTATGAACGGGTAGTGGGGAACCACAGTACATATTCTCCATTTTGATCTGATAACCCCCGTCCGTATAATTGAAATTCTTCATGCTGCCCCCCTTGTGGGTTGCATCTTTGGATCAACTGTCAAAACCGATGTCGGCTGATTGAAAAATCAGACCGGCATGTTAAACATCCGGAAATCCCCTGGAAATTTCCCTCTTCACACTTGGCATACATCTTTCTTTGGGTCTTAGTCGCAACCCAGTTAAAGTCGCTTCACCGAATGGATTCACGCTAAGGAGTGGGTGCAATTTTCATGGTGACGCCACTTTCAAACTAGCAAAGCGATAAATTGATCGCTTGTGAGAACTTAGCTTCTTCAACACTCAAACGACAATCCCAGTGTTGAACGCCATTTTCGAGCCACCATGGGTTTCGGGAACCTTGCAGACTACCCCAGGCTGCTTGTGGCTGCCAATCCCTCGCGACTCGAATTGGGAACCCTCTTTGTTGGCCTGGCGTCTTCAATTGCATCGGGTGTCCCCTTTCCCATCATTGGTATCATATTCGGCCAACTGATCGACGATTTCAACTCAGTGACATGCAAGGAAACTGGTGGCTCCTCGACAGGGGACTCTAGCGATCAATCTGACATCAATAGCAAAATTCTGCTGATCGTGTACCTGGGCATTGCTCAATTCGTTTTAATCTACCTTCACCTACTATGCTGGACTATGACCGGTGCGCGCCTGGCGCAGCGACTCCGCGAAAGATACCTCCAGAACTTACTCCGACAAGAACCCTCTTTCTTTGATAACCTGCCCGCTGGAGAAGTTGCTTCTCGACTCAACACCGATATCCAAACAATTCGCTCCGGTACAGCTGAGAAGGTCGGAATCTGTATCTCGAGTTTCTCTTTTTTCGTCACCGCATATGTTGTTGCATTTATCAAAGACTCTATTCTTGCCGCGATGCTGCTTTCCTTGATCCCTGCATACTTCATCATGTCATTTGTTGGAAGTTACTATATCGAGAAATACACCGGGCGCATGTCGGATTATGCTGCTTCCGCTGCGTCGATTGCTTCCGAGGCGCTTAACAACATTGTTGTGGTGCACGCCTTTGGTGCGAACGGTCGTCTGGAGGAGAAGTTCTCCAAGGCACTGAAGGACTCGGAAACCGAAGGATTGAAAAAGGCCAGCGCCACTGGTATTCAAGCTGGTGTCTTGTATTTCGTAGCATATGGTGCGAACGGTCTTGCATTCTGGCAAGGAAGTAAGCAGATCGCCGCGGCAGTGCGTGCGGGGTCGGCGGGTGCGACTGTTGGATCTGTTTTCACTGTTATCTTCGTCTTGGTTGAAGGTCAGTTTGATTAATATCTTACTATGGAATATTTTACTAACATTAACGACAGCTACCCTGCTTCTGAGTCAAGTTGCACCTTTCATCCACTTGTTTACACAGGCTGTTGCTTGTTACCACAAGCTGCGTGACGATATCGAGCGTAAAACCTTGATTGATGGATACTCCGATGCGGGAATTCGCCTCACCCAGGCGGAGGGTGGATTTGAGTTCAAGGACGTCTCCTTCATTTACCCCTCCAGGCCGGAGATCACCGTTCTTAACAAGATCAATCTCTCTATTGCTCCCAAGAAGCACACAGCCATTGTTGGTCTTTCTGGAAGTGGAAAGTCCACCATCGCAGGCTTGGTTATCCGCTTGTATGATGCCACTGAAGGTGAGATCACTTTCGATGGCCAGAATATCCGCGACGTCAACACCCGTGACCTGAGAGGATTTCTCAGTCTTGTGCAGCAGGAGCCCTCCCTTCTCGACCGATCCCTTTTGGAGAACATCGCACACGGCTTGGTGAACTCAAGCAAACCGGCCCATGCACACCTGAAGACGGCACTCCTCGGAACTGACCTCTCTGATCTAGCCACTGAAGTCAGAGATGGTCAGGATCTTATGACCGCAGCAGAGAGACGGGGCCCAGAAATCGTCGAAATTGTTCAATTGGCCCGGCAGGCTGCTGCGCTTGCCGATGCGGATGGCTTTATTGAGGCATTGCAGTATGGGTACGCCACGATGGTTGGCTCTAGTGGTCGACTCATTAGTGGTGGTCAAAAGCAACGAGTCTCTCTTGCCCGTGCTCTTGTCAAGGATCCCGCGGTTCTAATTTTGGACGAAGCAACTGCTGCTCTGGATTCACGCAGTGAACAGCGTATCCAGCGGGCTATCAACAACATCTCAACCGGTCGAACTGTCATCACAATCGCTCATCGTCTGTCAACAATCACAAATGCTGATAAGATCGTTTGTATGCACAAGGGAGATATCTTGGAGGAGGGAAGTCACTCGGAGTTAATGGCTGGTAATGGACCTTACTCTGAGCTGGTCAAATTGCAGACTCTCGGAGCCGCATCCGCATCCAACAAGACTGATACCACCACCAGCATTGAGAGCGTCAGCAAGTCCGATGCTACCTCTATTACCGACGTTGAAAATGAGAAGGGCAGTGTTTCAAATGAACTAGAACCCACAAAAGAAACCCGTGTCTTGACCACGGAAGCACCAGCCGGTAACTCTGCAGAGGAAGAAGAGGAAGAGCCTGAGACCCCGGTCAAATCAGTGTGGGATCTTTGCAAGGGCTATGCACCAGCTCTCAAGCCCCATTTGCTCGTCATCTTCGCTGCTCTTTTCGGTTCCAGCATGGTTGGCGGAGCCTTCTCTGGTGAAGCCGTCATTTTCGGAAACACAGTCGGAAGTTTAAACCCTTGCTTCAGTGCAGCCAGTATCAGCGAACGGGGTAACTTCTACGGTCTGATGTTCTTCGTCCTTGCCATCATCGAGTTCTTTGCAAACATCGTCAGCTGGGGGGATTCGGACTCGTTTCTGAGAAAATAGTCTACAAAGTACGAGTCTTGTCATTCCGGTCACTGTTTGAACAAGATCTCCAGTGGCATCAGTCCAACGGTCGTTCGCCTGCCTTGCTTCTGTCTTATATCACCAGAGATGGTAACGCCCTTGCTGGTATGAGCGGATCTGTCATTGGCACCCTGTTCTCTATCACCGTTAACCTCATCGCCGCCATTATTTTGACCCACATTATTGCCTGGAGAATTGCACTGGTCTGCCTCGCCCTTGTCCCTCTCCTACTCGGAGCTGGTCTAATGGAGCTGATGGTCCTCGGCAAATTCGAGGAGCGTCATGAAAACGCCTACACCAAGTCTGTCGACATTGGCGTGGAAGCAGTTACCTCTATCAAGACAGTCGCTTCTCTTTCTCTTGAAGAAAACACTCTGAAGACCTACCGACGATCCCTGAAGGGGCCCCGCAGGGAGACATTCATGGTTACCGTGCAGGCAAGTTTGTGGCAAGCCATGACCTACTTCTTGGGTAACATGGTGAATGCACTGGCATACTGGTGGGGTTCCAAGCAGATCATCAACGGCAACTATACTCAGACCGAGTTCCTCATTGTTGTCTTCTCTCTCTTGGTCAGTGCCCTGCTTTGGAGTCAGATGTTCGCTCTCGCGCCCGAGCTTTCTGCCGCGCGATCGGCAATGTCCAGAATCCTTGGCCTGATCGAGATCGGCAAGGACAAGATGAACTCCCAGCTCACACCATCCAACAAGGATGTCGAGGCAATTGAAGAAAAGCCCACCTACAACTCTGGTAGCTCGGCTTCCAGCGTGCAGCTCCGCGATGTCCACTTCTGTTACCCTGCCCGGCCAGACATGAAGGTGCTAAAGGGCTTGAACGTTGATATTCGCCCCGGCAAGTTCTGTGCCCTAGTTGGACCCAGTGGTGCCGGTAAATCGACCATCATCTCCCTGGTCGAACGCCTGTACACACCTGAATCTGGCTCCATCATCATCGACGGCGTCGACATGACTAAGACCTCAGACGTCTCCTTCCGTGACTGGATTTCCTTGGTACCCCAAGACAGCGTTCTGTTTGAGGGAAGCATCGAGTTTAATGTTGGTCTTGGTGCCCGGCCCGGCCACAATGTGACTCTTGAAGAAATCCAAGAGGCTTGCAAGCTCGCAAACATCCACGATGTTATCACTTCATTGCCGGATGGTTACCAGACCCTCTGTGGACCCAGTGGTAACCAGTTCTCTGGAGGCCAGAAGCAAAGATTGTCCATTGCTCGTGCTCTCGTTCGCAAACCTAAGCTTCTCATTCTTGATGAATCGACTAGTGCCTTGGACGCTGAATCCGAGAAGCTCTTGCAGGATGGTCTGGAGAAGGCCGCACGGGGAATCACTGTCATTGCTATTGCTCACCGTCTTCACACTATCCGGAAGGCCGATGTCATATTCTTGATTGATGGTGGTGTATGCACTGATTCTGGATCTCATGACGAATTGCTCGAGCGGTCCGACAGCTACCGGGCAAATGTCATGCATCAGACAGTGGCGACTTGAAAAAAATCTAGTTTCCTTTTAAATTTCTAGTACTTGTTTAATATATATCCCAATTGTTTAATTTTTACCAGTGTTTTTATGCGACCCGTTTACTAGTAGAAATGGCTAGCATCCTTTCGTATCCAAGTGAAAGACATTAGAGGCACAATACGGAGCCATAAATGTAGGAGTTGGATATCTAAGACCTTTGGTTCTGTAGGAAAGACATATTAGAATATAAGAGAAACAATAAAATAAAGTTCTAACCCATCTCCGATCTATCTGCTTTATAAAAATATCATATATCATGTTGAGGCACCAAGAACCAGGGGCTCGGAGCGACAACCCGACAACTCCTGAACAGCAGCCGCCAACTCATCAAGAGTGGCATCCACAAACTTCTCATCCCTTTTACTTCCAACAAATCCAACATGCATCTTCCCACCACGCACAAATGAGACAGCCTTCAACGGATAAGCAGCATCACCATGCGGGTTTGAAATATCAACCTTGCAAGAAGTTCCAGCAAATGGCATATCATCGAAATCATCCCAGTCCTGGTGATGAACAATCGAGTCAAAAGATTGTGCCTCCGGTGACCACTGCGCGCACTGCTTCGATATCTTCTCGAATCCGAGGAAATCGTGCGCCGCAGACTCGGCGTTCTGCTTCTGCACAAAGCGCAACAGATCCATCGCCGTCCACTGTGTCTCGAACTTTACTCTGACAGGAGTGAGTTGGTAGCATGGACCCACGACGTTCTCCACGTTCACAAGGTCGATCATTCGGCCCGAGGTCACCATGCCGAATGTCACATCGGGCTTGCCCAAACGACGGGCAAGGACCAGTGCCCATGCTGCGGTGAGCACATTTGCAGTCGTGATCTCCTGCACGGGCTGGAATTCTTCGACCGCCCTCTCGTGGAAGATGGCTTTGTCTGTGGGCTGGACCGTAGCTCCGTCGAGGACAGACAATGTCGAGTCCTTGAGCAGATTGCCCCAGTAATTGACTGCTTGGGTTTGGAGACGTCCATCGGAGACTCGTGCCATGTACGAGGCGAATGGCGCAAAGTCCACAACTTTGTCTCCGACATATAGAGTCTCCAAGTCTTGGAGTAGTTTGGGGAGTGAGACGCCATCATATTGGGCATGCGAGAGTCCTAGCACGAGGCAGTGCTTTCCGTCGTTACCTTGGACATGGAAGAGCTTGAGGAATGGCGATCCAAGTTCGAAGTTTGTCTCGATGTCTGCTGTGCAGAGCTCAGTGACGTATTGCTCAATCTCCTTGTCGGCCTGGTGCATATCCACGGGGACATGTGCGTCTTGGAGGACAACTTGAAGGTAAGACGATTCATGCTCGATGAAGACAGTCCGCAGAATATCGTGGGTCTTAACCAGGTCATTGCAAGCGCGTAGCAATTGCTCGTGATGGATGTTTTGGTCGAAGTACAGCATGGTGTATTGGATGGAAGTGCGTGGCGCTCCAATGGTTCCTCTGATATCAAGCGCTTGCGAACCTGTGACTGGAGACACATCCAATATGGGCCAGCCTGGGTTGGCAAGCTTAGGCCGGACAGTTGAGGCCAAGAACATCTTAACATCTAGATTGCTCAGCGCTGAGAAGGGCTTGTATGGCTGGGCATTTTCCTTCACTTGGTCCACTTTCAGCACCTTGGCTGCATCACCAAGACGCATGTGTTGGAAGATATCGGCTACTGACAAGCTGTGTCCCTGTGTTCGGAGACTTGAAACCAATTTCATTGCTAAGACAGAGTCACCTCCAAGACGGAAGAAGTTATCGTCGACGTCAATTTGCTCCAGGCTCAATCGGAGGATCTTTGCCCAAGCGGATTGCAGGATCTTTTCCGTCGGTGATAGTTTTGTCTGAGCCAAGCCCTTCGTCCATGCCTCCTTGAAGCCTCCACGAAGCTGTTCGAGAACGCTTTGAGGAATCTTTGAGGCCAATTGGTTGAGGGACGTGTGATCGAGCTGCTCCAAACCAGCCGGCAACTTGTCAACCACAACGTACGCAGAGGGGGCCATGTAGGATGGCAGTGAATCTCGGATGAATTTGTCGAGCTTCTTCAGTGACACAGCAAGTGTAACGGAAATAGTGTCGCAGACCGTCGTCTCGTCGCCGACCAACTCGTATTTCGCCGGCATGACTCTTACGCTGTCTTCCTCAGAAGGCTGGTTCTCGATAAAGACAGCCAGCTCTTGCTCTGTTACTTTCTGGGTGCCTTCTCTCAATGGCTGGAACACGGATGCAGCGGCACGAGTTGCTGACGGGAGGTGTTTTTCGAAATGTGACTCAAGATCTGCAATATCCACTGCATGTCCCTGAAGGGGCACGACATTCTCCTTACGGCCAACAAATACTAGACTTCCATCATCCTGAAGCTGGACCATGTCACCTGTAGGCTGTACCTTTCCTGATCGACCAGCACATTCAGAGCTTCCAGCCACGAGCCAGGCAGGGGACTCGACTGTTTCCCCAGAGAGGCAAGCACCCTCAAGCCAAAGTTCACCAACACTGCCGATGGGCGACAACAAATCCGGGTTGCGAGCATCACACACCCAAGGAATCATAGTACGAGGATAGACTGATCCTTGTTTGGTGCTCGCATGGGCGCGAAGGTTGCCAGAGGTTTCATCCACGGAAAGAGGAGGGGTCTGGTTCCATTGCCAGATTTGGTTGACTTCTGTCTCAGGAAGGCAAGAAATCTCATCAATGCGCTTGTCAAGACCCTTGGACAACTGCACGCAAGCGGTTTCCAACTGCGCGAGGATACGCTGCATCTGCGAACCCTCGATCAGGCTGCTGTCGAAACTAGCGCAAACCCTAAGACCTTCCTTGCGGATACCAAAGGCCACCATAAGCGGGTACGGGTTGAAATGAAGCGCCTCACGGACAACATCTCCAAGCTCAAATCCAAGATCGCTGCCGACGTACTCGGGGTCGGGCTGGATGACCAGTCCAGTGCCGGCTTCACATGCATACTGCGCATCTTGGCTGACCTTTCTGATATTCTGCATACCCATGTGCTGGTAGGGTGTACGAGCCAAAACGGTTTGCTGCACCGTCTGCAAGTATGATTCGACTGAGCTGGACCGGCGGACCTGGACGCGGATAGGAATTGTTGCGATCAGTGGTCCGACGATGCTCTCCACGCCCGGCAGCGAAATATCACGACCAGTGAGAGTCTCACCAAACACGACATCGTCGCTTCCAGTGTACTGGGATGCAACGAGGGCCCATGCACCACGCACCAATGTGGCCATCGTGAAAGGTGATCCTGCACTTGTCTCGAGGGCAATCTGATGTTCGATTAGGCCATTAGGAGTTGGCATGAAATCGCGAGAGGGCAGACGGGGGAACTGAGGCCCAACAGCACCCTTCAACTCCCGTCGCCAGAAGTCATGCATGGCGGTCTCGTCTGTATCGCGTACGTACTTAACAAAGTTCCGCATCTGTGTCTGGATCTCGACGGACAGATTCTGCAGGGCATCGCTGACTTGCTTGAGAACGATAGGCTCTGACCATCCGTCGTATAGAACGTGGTGGACAGTCCAGACCATATACCGTTTGTCTTCATTTGCATTGCTGACAATGCCGTATCGAGCCAGGCTTTGTCCAAGGTTCATCCTTTCGCTTCGGTCATTCTCGAGATATTGATCCAGGTCGGTGGAGTATCTCCAGGAGACGCCTTCCTTCACAACAATTTGCTGAAGGCCTGGGTCTTGGAGTGGTGCCAGACGAGATCGTAGGATAGGGCTTACTGCAACGACATCTTCCCAAGCCTTCTTCCAAGCATCCAGGCTAATATGTGACGGAATACATGCGACTCTCTGAGCGATATACGCCTTTGTCGATTTGAGCGAGAAGGTGAACAATGACTCTTGTGTGGGTGTACAAAGGTAGATATCTTGCACATTTGCTTGATCCACTCCGCAAGCTTCTGCTGCTTCGAGGCAGGCGCTCTCGACAGATTGGGAGATCAAAGAAAATGCCGGAATCTCTTCCTGTACGTGAGAGCTGCAAGGCTGGATGACGGTGGCCATCGCCGAGAGGGTAGGATTTCCGAAAGTGCTGATGACAGAAAGGTCAAGGTCTTGCGACCTGCAGACAGACACGAGTCTCATCGCCGCCAGGGAGTCACCACCCAATGCAAAGAAGTTGTCATCAGGACGAATGGCTTCTGCGTCGAGTTTGAGTGTCTCGGCCCAGGCCTGTCGGAGGCGTTTTTCAAGCTCATTCAGTTCCCGAGAAGCAGTGCTTGCGGCTCCTTGGTCCAGCTGGCGTAAATCAACTGTCGCACCAAATGCTCGGAGTTGTTTGCGATCGGTCTTGCCTGAAATCAACACCGGCATAAGATTAACCGGGATATATGTGGTCGGCACCATGTATCGCGGCAAAGTTTTCGCCACATCTGCATTAGCCTTCGTCAATACGCTGTTCAACTCGCTTGAGATCTCGTCCAAGGCAAGCTCGGCCTGCCCATGTCCCTTTGGCTGGAAGGCAACGAATGCCACGAGCATTGGCTGGCCCCCATAATCCTTGGGCGTAATCACCTCAGCAATGACATTAGCCTCTGAGGGCAGAACAGCCTTTAGCTGACTCTCGATTTCGCCCAGTTCGACACGCTGTCCTCGCAGCTTGACTTGAGTATCCTTTCGTCCAACGAAAACGATGCCGCCAAGACCGTCGGGGTCATATCTTCCAAGATCACCAGTCTTGTACAGACGACCCTGACGACCAGGATATTCTTTGTGGCCTGCGACCAACCAAGGTGGATCATTGATGAAAGCAGCAGCAGTCTTCTCGGGGTCATTTAGATAGCCCTGTCCGACAATGGGGCCCTCAACGAGCAGCTCGCCTACAGCGCCGACTGGCACAAGCTCGTTATGGTCATTCGGGTTTGCGATCCACATGGCTGCACCGTTTCCTGGGCCAATGGAGAGGTAATCTCTGCCAGTAGCAGCGCTGGCGTTGACTGTGCATCCAATCGTACATTCGCAGGG